CTTCCTTCTTTCCAATTTGGATGCCTTTTATTTCTTCTTCTTGTCTATATGCTGTGGCTAGGATGTCCAATACTATGCTAAATAAAATTGGTGAAAGTGACATCACTATCTTGCTCCTGTTCATAGGGAAAAAAAGTTTTAATTTGCCCATTGAGTATGATCTTGGCTTTATGTTTGTCATATGTGGCTTTTATCATGTTGAGATATACTCCCTCTATTCCCAATTTGCTGAGTTTTTATAAAAAATGGGTGTTGGATTCTGTCACATGCTTTTCCCACATCTATTGATATGGTCATGTGATTTTTGTCTTTCAATTTATGTGATGTATCACATTTATTGATTTGCAAATATTATACCAGTCTTGCACCCCCTGGAATAAATCCCACTTGGTTATGGTGCATGATCTTTTAAATATATTGCTGGACCTACTCTGCTAATATTTTGTTGAGGATTTTAGCATTTATGTTCACCAGGGATATTGGCCTGTAATTCTCTTTCTTTGTAGTTCTTTATCTGGTTTTGGAATTAGGATAATGCTGGCTTCATAAAAAGAGTTTGGAAGTGTTCCTTCCTCTTGGACTTTTAAAAATAGTTTGATGTTCCAGGACCGGTTTGGCTCAATGGATAGAGCGTCCGCTTGGGGACTGAAAGGTCCCGGGTTCGATTCCGGTCAAGGGCATGTACCTTGGTTGCAGTTATATCCCCAGTAGGAGGTGTGCAAGAGGCAGCTGATAGATGACTCTCTCTCATCGATGTTTCTAACTCTCTATCTCTCTCCCTTCCTCTCTGTATAAAATCAATAAAATATATTAAAAAGAAGTTTGATGAGTATAGGTGTTAGCTCTTTAAATGTTTGGAGAAACTCTCCCAGACCCAGGCTTTTGTTTGCTGGGAGATTTTTTTTTTGTTTTGTTTTGTTTTTTTCTTTTCCTACTTTTTTTGAGATTGTTTTTTTAATTATTATTATTATTATTACTATTGCTTCTATTTCATCAGTTGTTATTGGTCTATTCACGTTTTCTGATTCTTCCTGATTCAGTTTTGGGAGATTGTATTTTTCTAGGAACTTGTCCATTTCCTCCACAAGGTCCAGCTTTTTGGCATAGTATTTTCTTACAATCTTTTGTATTTCTGAATCATTTGTATTTCTGTGGTGTCAGTGGTCACTTCTCTACTTTCATTTCTGATTGCATTTATTTAGGTCCTCTTTGTTTCTTGATGAGTCTGGCTAATGGTTCATCTATTTTGTTTATCCTTTATTTATTTATTTATTTATTTATTTATTTTTAAAAATATATTTTATTTATTTTTTACAGAGAGGAAGGGAGAGGGATAGAGAGCTAGAAACATCCATCAGAGAGAAACGACCAGCTGCCTCTTGCACACCCCCTACTGGGGATGTGCCCGCAACCAAGGTACATGCCCCTGACCGGAATCGAACCTGGGACCTTTCAGTCTGCAGGCCGACGCTCTACCACTGAGCCAAACCGGTTTCGGCATATCCTTTATTTATTTTTATTTATTTATTTATTTATTTATTTATTTTTTAATATATTTTATTTGATTTTGTACAGAGAGGAAGGGAGAGAGATAGAGAGTTAGAAACATCGATGGGAGAGAGTCATCGACCAGCTGCCTCTTGCACACCCCCTACTGGGGATATGCCCGCAGCCAAGGTACATGCCCCTGACCGGAATCGAACCTGGGACCTTTCAGTCTGCAGGCCGACGCTCTACCACTGAGCCAAACCGGTTTCAGCATATCCTTTATTTATTTTTAAATATATTTTATTGATTTTTGACAGAGAAGAGAGAGAAATAGAGTTAGAAACATCGATGTGAGAGAATCATCGTCAGCTGCCTCTTGCACACCCCCTACTGGGGATGTGCCCGCAACCAAGGTACATGCCCCTGACCGGAATCGAACCTGGGACCTTTCAGTCTGCAGGCCGACGCTCTACCACTGAGCCAAACCGGTTTCAGCATATCCTTTATTTATTTTTAAATATATTTTATTGATTTTTGACAGAGAAGAGAGAGAAATAGAGTTAGAAACATCGATGTGAGAGAATCATCGTCAGCTGCCTCTTGCACACCCCCTACTGGGGATGTGCCCGCAACCAAGGTACATGCCCTTGACCGGAATCGAACCTGGGACCCTTCAGTCCTCAGGCTGATGCTCTATCCACTGAGCTAAACCATTTTCAGCTCTCGTGTGTTTTTTAGAGTCACTGTTTCCTTGTTATGCTTTTGTCTGAAAGATCTGTTTGATCTCTGTTAAAATCCTCTGGAAGTTTTTAAAAAAATATATTTATGTGCTCCTATATTGATTGCACACATGTTTAGCATGGTTATATCCTCTTGTTGCATTGATCCCTTTAGTATTATGTAATGACCTTTATTGTCTCTTGTGATGGACTGCATTTTGAAGTCTTTTATGTTGGATATGAGTATTGCTACTCCAGCTTTTTACTTCAAAATTTTTCCATCCCTTCACTCTCATCCTATGTATGTCTTTTGTTCTGAGATGGGTCTCTTGTAGATAGCATATAGTTGGGTCATGTTTTTGTATCCATTCAGCTACCCTATGCTTTTTGATTGTAATATTTAATCCATTTACATTTATGGTAATTCTTAATAGGTACTTATGTATTGCCATTTTAATTCTGTATGCATAGGTTTCTCTGTTTCTTCTCATTACAGCAGTACCTTTAGCATTTCTTGTAATGCTGGCTTGGTGGTGATGAACTCCTTTAGTCTTTTTTTTTTTTTTTTTTTTTTGTCTGGGAAGCTCTTTATTTGACCGTTTATTTATATATTTATATATTTATATATTTATTTATTTATATTTTTTTCACCCCCTCCCCTCCTCTCTCCTCCCCTCCCCTCCTTTTCTTTCCCTTCCTCTTCCCTCCCCTCCTGACCGTTTATTTTGAATGATAGCCCTAGCTGCCCCTGCAGCCCCCACCATGAACCAGAGGCCGGTGACCCAGAGCATACATTGGCAGAGTGAAGAATCAGGTGGATGTAGCGGTGTTCACATCCAGCAATGCCCCCCCCTCTCCTGTACACTGGTGTGAGATTAAACACCAGATGCTCTAGTAGTCAAATCTGCATCAGTCTGTGTGGGGGAGATGGGCCTGGGAGCACCTGACAGGCTGTCCCAGGGTGCTCCCAGATACCTCAGAGCTGGAGAAAGAGACCAAGGGATGGAGGGTTTCCAAGTTCAGAATGTTCTCTTCACAACTGAGGGTGATCAGCAGAGAATTAGAACCAGGTGCCAAGGACCTAACATGTGACCTTGGCCCAAGTAACTTCTCTTTGAGCCTCACTTTTTGTCATCTGCAAAATGGGACTAATTTTTCTCCACCTGGAAAATGGGTCACAAATGGAAAAGGTGGTCTAACTCAGATCACCTTACACACACACACACACACACACACACACACACACACACACACGGTGGAGCAGGATTCAGGACTCAAATGTTTTGATTTCTTCATCCTCTTGGCTCCATCCCATATAGGCTCCCTCTTCTGGAGAAAAATGGCTTCGGTAACTCTAAGGACTCCAGAGGTCCCTTTCCCAGGGGCCCACTCAGAGGCAGCCCCAGCTGAATGACAGGGCTGACACTGGGGGGTGTGGGTGGGGTGGGGAGAGAAGGGAGCCTTCCTTAAGGAAATATCCAAGTGCTGGCTCCTGGCAGGTAGATGGAGCTCTGCCATGAACAGCGCTTTGCGGAGGGGCAGACTTGCTCACTGAATGGGGTTTGGTGTTACCAAGCAGTGACAATCCAGTTTTCTCACTCCGTTTACTGCCGTCCGTTGATCTTCCTAGAGCACTTCCCCATTTGGCATTCTACTGAGCATTTCACGGAGCAACAATTGCAAGCTAGGCATATTTATGCACTTCCTTCCTTTCCTGATGAACATGGCGCCACCCTAAGGGGCAGTGGCGGGAACTGCGAACTAGTTCAAACATATGAAGCCTGCAGTACAGAGCCCATCAGAAACCCCCAAACATAAGCAGCCAACGGGACCTGGCAGCTAGGTGGCCCACTTGTGGGAGTTATTCTTGGTTGATGCTCACATATTCTTGGTTCCTGCCCACTAGATAAAAGCATGGGGGAGCAGTCAAGTGGCAACTACAGGTCCCTGTGTATTTCCAAATGCCCCCTAGGGGGTGCTACCAGCCCTGAAAACCAACAGACCTGTCATATCCCTGTGCTGACTGAGAACCAGTGTGCTGGCCTCTCTGGGTTTGTGTGAACATGTAGGTCTGGGGCGGGGCTGAGTGGGACCCATGCTCCGTTGCTGGCAGCTCACTGGCTTGAGCTTTTCATCTTAAATTGTGGACTCTACAACGGCCCCACCGCTGGGTTACTGGGCTCAGAGACAGCCCCTCTCCTAGCCCATGTTCTCTCCCTGACTATTTTCCTTTTCCTGTCCTCATGTGCTCAGCTCTGGCCACACTGGCAGCCTTGCTGAACCTCTACTTCCATGGATCTCTTTCTGGGGCTTGTCCCCCATGTCTATGAGCCTGCTGCCTGGCTCCCTTAGCGATCCCCTCTACCAAGGTGTCCCTGACTGATGTACTCAATTTGGGCTCCCCCCTCCCCCTTTCTCTGCTCTTTTGTTTGGTCATAGCATTTACCATCATCTGACAAACACCAATTTTATTTACTTGCACCTGGGTTTCTCATTCACTATTGAGAAGTGGGTGCTCAGTAGATATGTTATTATAGACTAAATGAATTCATCTAATGAATGTGCAATCCTAGTAGTGTTTTCCCAGTGGGGGTGTCTGTGTCCCCCAACCCCCAACTCTTGGGGGCTGCAGGTAAGTGCTCTCCTCAGGGGGTCAGGACAGGGGCCCTGCAGCTATAGGCCCACAGCTCCCCAGGCACACAAGAATGGAGAGGCAATGCTGGGCTGCTGGTTTATTTTGTGCTTGAGGTAGTGGGTGGTGACAGCGGGTGGGGCGCCTTGCCCCGGCTTGCCTCAGCTCTTGGAGTAACGCCTCTGCAGCGATTCCCGGTAGAAGCGGAAGACGTGCTGTGAGGCAGCTTGGGCTGCAGCCAGGCACTGCTGGAGCTGGGCAGGGAGAGACTGGTCAGTGTGAGGGATGTGGGGGGCATCTCTGCACCTACTGGCCCATCTGATTTCTAGGGCCCTCAAACCTACCACTTCCCCCTTTAACCACGGGGGGGTGGGAGGGTGGCCAGGTATCTCCTTCTTCTTTACTGTAAGCCCCTTTAGAGGGGAAGCGAAGGGAAAAAAGAGAAAGTGAGAGGTTCAGGGACCAGCTTTCAGTAGCTCCAGGGCCTCACATCAAAGAGCTCAGACATTCTGACCACTGGAAGAGACCGGAGCTCTGGAAACTTAGTTGGAGAGATCCTAGAATTTTACAGCCACAGGCCCTGTGACTCAGAAAAATGCTGAGAGCCATGGAATCTGAGACCCCAAATCTGTATTGCCACATATCCCTAGATTCTCAGGAGTCCAGATTGGAAACACTCTTAAGAGACCATTTGGCCCAAGTTTCCAAACTCTTCAGACCTGGGATGGGGAAGGGGAGCACTGCTCTGAACTGGAAGCTGGGGGGCCTTCAGGTACCCCAACCTCCTGATTTCAGCCTGAGCTCCTCTTCTCTTTTCCTGTCTCATTAATTGGGCTTCCCCTTTAAAATTCTCACAGAGGTTTCTGTGGCTACAAAGTTTAAAACTCTATTTATAGAAGGAATGCTAGGAGGGGGTTTTTCCTTGAACCCCTCAGTGTAGGGCAGAGTTGGGACAACAGGTGGAGGGGGGGGGTGGAGGGGAGAGTGAGGAGGGGAAGGAGGAGAGCTAGGGTTCACCGCATCTGCATGCTGGTACCTCAGCATTGGAGTAGAGCCCCTTGGTGGTGGACATGAGCAGCTTCTGGTCCACACTGTCGAGTGCAAATGTCAGGACTGCCCGGGCCTCCTAGAGACGAGGGAAAGAAAGTGAGGGACCTGGACTCTCTCCTCAGACACAATCTCAGCTGATCCCAAGAAGGGACTCGCCTTCCCTGCAGGCAGGTACTCTTGCATGGAGGGTGGCTGATTGTCTATACATACCCCTCCTGGCTTCCCTGCCTTTCCTCTGGGTCTACACCCGGTTCCACCCACACAGCCCTGACAGGCTTCCAACAGTACTTCTGCCCTGCAGGGTGGTCACAGTGCATGCCTTTACCCACTGCCTCGCGGCTCCTCTGGTGCGAGACTGGCAGGAGGGACAGCATCCAGGTGCTTACTCTGACAGTGGCAGGTGCTATCTATGGCTGTGGCAGCGGCCTCAGTAGCGACAGTTTCTGGACTTCTGTAGCCAGTGCAAAGCCAGGATGTCTGTGCCATAGACCTGGCTGCAGGGATGCCTTTATCAGCTTAAGTGCAAGTTGGCTGTGGGCTCCTGATCTCTGGGTGACCCTCCTTCTTCCTTTTTGCTCTTCCAACACTGTTGTAACCAGTTCCCTGCATTCAACCCTCTGTGGGAAATCCTCCAGGTGGTTTCTGCTTTTCTGACTGGATGTGACTGGCAAATAACTCAAAGTAACCACAGCCCCAGGACACTGTGAACTTGAACCGTCAAGGAACGCTCCCTCCTCCTTTCCTTCTGAGCCTTTTAAGATGTAAGCACAGAGCTTAAGGGGCCAGCTGCAGCCTCAGGAGAGATGCTGGCCACTGAATGGATCTGATATGCAGAAAGGAGCAGGACCAAGGAAGGAAGGAAATCCTGACGGCGTTTGAGGCTCAGGCTCAATCTCTGCTCTTTCTGACTTTGGCACTGAATGCCAATAAATTCCCTTTTTGCTCAAGCAGTTTGAGTTGGGTTTCTTGCACTTCCCTGATGAGCAGAGCACATCTTGCTAGTTGGGACTGAGCTGGTAGCCAACTGCTGTAGAGAAGCACGGCCTAGAGGACGAGAGGGATAGGGTCCTGGCAGCCAGATCCGGAGCCCAGGCATATGGCAGGCAGCCAGCCGCCACCATGACAGCCTTTCACCATGACAGCCCTGGCCTTCATACCTACCTTTTCTTGCTTGGCTGTGGGGTCCAGCACGAGAGTCCCGTCAGAGTCCAGGGCACAGGTGACCCCACAGAAGAGGGCTTGCATTGGCACGCCTGCGTCGACCAATGCCATGCAGGTGGCGTTCAGGCAACAGGCCATGAGCTGAGTGCCACAGGGATTGGTTAAGAGTTTCTACTGCAGGTCTGGCGAGCATAGTGTGTCCTTGCCTCCACCCCCTGCCAGTGCTGTGGCTGCATCACTAACTGGTCACAGGAAGGCAGCATGGCAGAGTTCCAAGTGGTTCTGGGATCAAGTAGCCTTGGATTCCAGAACTGACTTTGTGACCTTGAGTAAATGACTTACTCTCTCTGAGCCTCAATCGGGGAACATGATATTCAACAGTTATGTAATGGCATGTGCCAAGCACCTGGAGGGAATGAGTGCAGAGGGGGGAGAAATCTTTCAGATCACCTGGGAGGTACTGGCAGAGCCAGTCTGGCAGGCAGGCAGGCAGGCAGCCGGCCGCCACCATGACAGACTGGCAAGGACACGGAGGGAGGAATCATTATCGCGCCGGCAAGGAGCCCATCATCAGGGGGAGGGGTGTGGCTGTGGTGAGGTGGAAGGCAAGCACAAGGCTGAGCCAGAGAGCAGGCCCCACTTGTTTGCTCCACAGCAGGTAAGGGTCCAGCTTTAGAATCAATCCATCCCACCTCTGCCACTGACCCTCTTATTACCTCCCTCCGAGCTTCGGTTTGCCCCTCTGAGAAATGGGGCTACAACAGCTCTTCCTTCCTCCTGCCCATGAAATGCCCATTTCTGATCCTCAGCCTCAACCTGTCGCCCAAAGATGAGCTGTTGGCCCAACTACTCTGCTTGCTCAGGGCTTTCCCAGCACAGCGTCTCAAATATAAGCTCAGGGTCAGAGTGGAGGTCAATGGCACAGGCTTTGGAAGAGTGCTCTGCTGTCTTCAGCTGTGTGACCTTGGACAAGTGACTTCCCCTCTCTGGGCCTAGTTTCCTTACCTGAAACACAGGAACATAAGAATCCCGTCTGTCAGGGGCCCTGGACTGTGGAACCAAATGGCTTGGGTTCAAGTCCTGGCTCTGCCAATCACTAGTTATGTGAGTTATGCTGTGCAGATTAAATGGGTTAACGTATGTAAAGCACTCAGAATAGTGCTTGACACACAGTAAGCACTCAAGCTGTTTGCTAATCTTTTTCAACAAGTTGGTTCCTGTCAAGTGTTTGGAGCTCCTGTCCATAAGCAAGGGAGGTGACTAGGGAGATTCTGGAGAACTTCCTGGAGGAGGCAGCATGGGAGAAAGGATACAGAGCCAGCATCGCTGATGACCTGCAGCACGATGGTGATGGAGGTGCGGGGGTGCAGTGCCCCCAGCACCACCGCTTCACACGTGTTCCTGATCAGCCGCTCCCGGCTCTTCTCTGCTACACCTGGGGAACCAGGGTGGGGAGGGGTCAGGCTCTTCGCTTTCTCCATATGCCCCACCCAGGCCTCTGGGAAGGACCTGCGGTCTCAGCCTGGGTGGGTGCAGGACCCCATATGGATGGCACAGGATTCTGAGTGGGCAGGAGGCAGGGCCAGGTTGCTACCCACCCCACCCCTGCCACCTGCAGCATCTAGCAAGGGAGCCTCTTGGGGAGGAAAACCCCAGAGTTCCCATGTCCCGTGATACTGCCCAGGCCCATCCCAGTGGGCTCAGTCTGCAGAAGTGAGGGAGACGGGAGTTAGAGGGCAGAAAAACAAGTTAATGGAAAGAAGAGGAGATGGAGCCAGGAAAGAGGAGAGGAAGGGAAGACTCTGAGAAACAGAGACAGGCAAAGGGAAAAGTGACAGAAGCATAGACCCAGAGATTCAGAGGCAGAGTTGGAGAAAGAGACAGAAATAGCTGAGGGAACACGAGGGGACAGCAGTGAGGGAGGAGCTGGGCGGGAGGCCCCAATGGAATGGACATCTGGAGACCAATTACCAGGCAGCCCGATCTTCGGCCTCAGGATAACTTCCAGTGTGGCCTTGTTGAAGATCTCTTTGCTGACCTTCACCTCAGCTGGTCCGTACACGCCTGCCAGGACAGAGGTATCCCCTGGGGAGAGAGCATGCGGGCCTCACTCACAGGTGCCCTGCCTTGGGGCCTTGAACAGTGTGGCACTGAGCCAGATGGCCGGGGTCCTCCCTACCCCCATCACTCTGGTCCACCATTTGTTGGCAGTGATTCTTTGAGCACTAGCTTCATTCCCTCCCTCACTTCCTCACCTGTAAAATAGGGACAATAACAGTATCTCCTTCACAGCATTGCTATGAGATAATCCATGACACTGCCTGGTACATGCTGAGTATGCAACAGGCTTTAGTAATATTATTTACTTTAACAGGAAGTTCTTAGCACCTTCCTTTTTTAAAAAAATATATTTTTATTCATTTCAGAGAGGGAGAGGGAGAGAGAGAGACATCAATGATGAGAATCATTGATTGGCTGCCTCCTGTGCACCCCACACTGGGGATCGAGCCGTGACCAGGGTATATGCCCTGACTGGGAAGAGAACTGTGACCTGTTGGGACATAGGTCGATGCTCAATCACTGAGCCACACTGGCTGGGATAACCTTCCTTCTTCTTACTGCAGCTGGTCTTGACTGCTCTCAGAGCTTCACCCAGTCCCTCTCCTCCCTCACCCAGACTCTCATCCCCAAACTGCAGTAGTCAGAAAACCTAAGAAAGGGATAAATCTCTGGGTGTGGGTCCTGGATGCTGCTTATTTTCCAGAGTGGATGTGGATCAGAGAAGAGAAGCAAGACCTGGGAAATACCAGGTCTTGCTTCTCTTCTCTGGTCCATACCCACTCTATAGAAAGCCTGGCTTGTAGTTCTGTCCACCTCCTCCTGGCTCTGCTCCCTTGGCTGATTCTGATCACTTCTCTGGACCTCAGTTATACCATCTGTAAAATGGAGAGGCTGCACTACAGCAGTGGCTTCCAAACTCTTCTGATTTGCTACCTTACCTTTAGGTCTTTATTCAAATGTTACCATCTCATTGAGGCCTTTCCTGACCTATTTAAGATTGCAACCCTTCGGGTGCGGCCAGGCCCGGAGCAGCGGCTGCCAGGCTGGGAGTGGCCAGGCCCGGAGCAGCCGGGTCAGGTGCGGCCAGGCCTGGAGCAGCGGCTGCCAGGCTGGGAGCGGCCAGGCCCGGAGCAGCTGGGTCGGGTGCGGCCAGGCCCGGAGCAGCGGCTGCCAGGCTGGGAGCGGCCAGGCCCGGAGCAGCAGCAGCCAAGTCCAGAGCAACTAGGTCGGGAGCGGCAGTGACCAGACCCGGAGCAGCTGGTTGTGGAACGAACCAGAGAAACAGAGGCCAGGCCCTGAGCAGCCAGGCCCGGAACAGCTCGCTCCTCGCCTGCCTCTGCCCCATGGCTGCTTCTCAAACATGGCTGGAAACTTTTGTGGGAACTTGAGGGTCTGCTGAATCAAGTGATGAAGGCTTGGATCTGGATGTGTTGAGTTAGTATAGGGCTGGGGTGTTGATCTGTGAGTGCCTTGGGTGGGGCCTGGATGAGGCTAGTTGACCTATTGGGAAATGTCTTTTGTGTGAAGTGTATCATTGGGCATGTGGAGGTATTATTGATTTGAGAAAATGCTAAGTAACTGATTTACTATCTGAAAAGGGATTTACTACTGGGGAAAGGGAGGGAAGAAGAGACTGAACATAAACTGTGTACCTATGGATGAGGACAATGGGGGATGGGGAGGGGGCGGAGGGTGGGGTGGGAGCCTGGTGGAAGGGGGAAGAAATGAGGAACCTTTGTAAAAAAAAAAAAAAAAAAAGATTGCAACCCTTGCCCTGGCTGATGTTCTCAGTGGTTAGAACATTGCCCTGTGCATTGAAGGATTGTGGGTTCAATTCCCGGACAGGGCACATACCCAGGTTGCAGGTTCTATCCCCAGTCGGGACATGCATGGGAGGCAACCAATTGATGTTTCTCTCTCACATAGATGTTTCATTCTCTCTCTAGAATCAATGAAAAAAAAAAAAAAAAAGAAAAAAAAGAAAGAAAAAGAAAAAAAGAAAGAAAGAAAGAAAAAAAAAAAGAATACACAAAACATAACCTTGAGTGAAGACTTAAAAATTAAAATTGCAATCCTTCCTGGCACACCCTATTCCCCTTTCCTACTGTATTTTTCTCTGTAGCATTTTATTTATTTACTGTATGTCTTCTTCATTAGATCAGGGATTTATTTGTTTATAGAAGAAGGGAGAAGGATAGACAGAAACATCAATGAGAGAAACATCACCATTGGCTGCCTCCTGCACATTGCTTATTGGGGATATAGCCTGCAACTTGGGCATATGCCCTGATCAAAATTCGATCCAGTGATCTCTTGGTTCATGGTTCAAAGTTAAACCACAGATCCACACTGGCCAGGCAGGGATTTATTTTAAAGATTCTTTACTAATTTAAAAAGTATATTTTTTATTGATTTTTTTTTTTTTTTTTTTTTTTTGAGAGAGAGGAAGGTGGTGGTGGGGGGAGTGGAGAGAAACACTGATGTGAGAGCGGAACATTGCTCTGCTGCCTCCTGCACGCCCAGCTTGGGGATGGAGTTTATAACAGGGGCATGTGCCTTGACCAGGAATTGAACCAGCAAGCCCTCAGTGCACAGGATGGCACCTAACCAATTGAGCCACACCAGCCAGGGCTAGGTCAGGGATTAAAAAACATATATATATATTGCTATATTCTCAGTGCTTAGAACAGTACTTAGTACAAATACATACCTGTTCAATGAATGAAAGCAGGTTTGTAACTGAGTGGAAGGTAGTGCCCTGGGAGGACTAAAGCCTCTATGGGGGTGATCATTGGGCCTATCTCACCCAGGAATATTTACCTGGGTCAGGGAGTCTGAAAGGTATTTAGCTAGAGGAAGGGGATGGTAAGATCTACCCCAATCTCTGGAATATTTATTCATATGAGAGAAGTGTATCCCAATCAAAGGGATATTTACCTGATCGGTGGGGTAGGGGCAGGGAAAATCTTTTTCAACTTAGGGTGTGGACATCACCCTCAATCTGAAAAGTATGTACTTGGGTAAAAGGCCTGCATGGCAGGAGTAACTAGGCCTGTAATGGTGATCTGCCAGGCTACAGGGGATTTATACAAGCAGGCAGGTTTGCCTCAGTCTGGGATGTATGGAGAAGGAATCTAATCAAGGGGTTATTCACTCTGGTGAGATTTTTCCTATTCTGGAGTATTCATGCCTGTGGGAGGTCTGCCCCTCTCTCCTGATATCTTTTCCCTTCAAGTCTCGAGGGAGAAAGGGAGAGCGGGAGGCGGGAGAGAGAGAGGTACCCTAGAGTAGCTAGAAGTATTCACCTGGGAAATAAGTTCTGTCCGAGTCCAGGAGGGACATTAACCGGCTAGTATCAGAGGAGGTGTATATTTGATGATACACCATAGCCACTCCCTAAAACAAATACGATCTGGATAAACGTGGCCCGGGCAGTATCAAGTTGGATTAAGTTCTCACCTTGCAGGAACGAGGCAGAGCCATCCGGCCGGGACAGCAGGTTCTGTTCACAAGCAAAGTGCCGGAGGCTACAGCCGGGACTCTGAGGACTGGAATCTGTTCCGTACTCAGTGCGGATCTTGGCGTCTGACTGCATGGCCCGCTTCATCCGTCAACACCACGAGTGTAGTTGCTTCCGCACGAAAGTCGCTTCCGTGTAGGCTGCGTCCCCAGTGCGCACGCGCCAATCCCGCGGCGCCAGAACCCTGGGCCCGCACGTGTCTTTGCGTTTACTAACAATTTGGTCCCGCCCACTCCCGCCTCGGAATTCAAGAAAAGCCATTGGACAATGGAAAAGAGGGGGCGGTCCTTGGCCAGGGCTAGTCCTACCCGAGGCCCCGGGCCTTAAAGCCGCGAGGCTTTGGCTAGGTTGCCCTCTTCTTTGCCTGTTATAAAAACAACTATGATGAGGCCACCAAAGCAATTTTTTTGGGAAACTAGTTTGTTTTGCCCAGTCATAGATGTATTTTGGAAACATTGGGATTAGTAGCAGGTGCTTTATTTGCAGGGTGGTGCTGGCATTTGAGTCAGGCTCATGGAAGGGCAGCCCCCGGTATCGCGGAGGAGAGGGGCGGGTCACCAATGGGTTGTTAGTCAAGATGGCGTTGGCGGCCGGTGTAGCGCGAACGTGGATGTGGGGACCGAGTAGAGGCTTGGGCCGGGCTGGCTTTCAGCTCCTGCGGCGGCTTGGGACTCGGGGGCTGGCTGTGTCTGTGAGTACCTGAGGCACCAGGGCCTTTTCCCCAGGGCGAAATAGGGATGTCAATGCTGTCTTCAGACTGAGCCCTGCAGGGAGTGAAGGAAGGGCTGTCACAGAAGGGACCACTTGTAAAGAGTGACGGACGGGGTTCCTCTTGAGTTGCCATCCACCCTCAGGGAAGGGGGTGGCCGTTTGGAGGGCCGCTTGGAGCGAGACCTTTGCCTCAGGCTTGGGAAGTGAACGTGCCTTAGGAAGAGGAAGGACTTCTCCGCAAAGACCCCTTCCCTTCAAAGAGGAGAGAAGAGAAATCAAAATCTCCAGTCACGGGCTTTTTAAACTAGTGCCCCCAGTCCTTCTTTGCTCGTTTGCTACAATTCGGATTTTAAAACGGGTTGCACAGAACGCAGTTGGATCCCGTGTCCCCCTAATCAAACGGCAGGACCAGGACCTTGTCTGTTGTGGTCAGACTAGAGGAGATGATCCGTAAATACTTGTTGAATTAGAGAGGAGGAGGGAGAGGTCCACAGGGGCACTTTGGCCACATTTAAAAAAATATATATATTTTATTAATTTTTTACAGAGAGGAAGAGAGAGGGATAGACAGAAACATCGATGAGAGAGAATCATCGATCAGCTGCCTCTTGCACACCCCCTACTGGGGATGTGTCCGCAACCAAGGCATATACCCCTGACCGGAATCAAACCCGGGACCTTTCAGTCCGCAGGCCCACGCTCTATCCACTGAGCCAAACCGGTCTCAGCTGGCCACATTTCTTAGGGGGGGGGGGGGGAAGTCTTACTGGAAGTCCTTGGGGGCTGCACTAGAGCTATGAACTACAGTCTCACAATTAGAGAGAGGGTAGCTGTTTAGAAAGTTAGGAAGCCCGATCACCTTGGGTCATCTTCCTAATCTTCCACATTCCAGCCGTGTAGCTTGGGCAAGGGCTTGGCGCTCTGTGGACCTGATTCCCCCTCTGTGAAATGCTAACAGTGGCATCTCTTGGGGTTGTTGTGAAAATTAAATATGTCGCATGCCAAGAACTGGTATATGATGTGGGCAATAGGAATGTTGGCTGCGTTTGGAAGTGAGGCTGCAGGGAAGCGAGGGAGAAGAAAGGTGATTTTTGGAGGGCCTGGATTGATGAGGGCCCTGGAGGGAAATCCATCAAGATCCTGTGGGGTTGTGCCCTCTGATCTTTCAATCCAGAAGGAAGGGAAGCTAGACACTGTGGGAAGAAACTGTAGATACGAGAAATGGGAGGAAGGTGGAGAGGCCAGGAATGAGGGGAGGGGTATTAGGAAGGTAAGGATTGCTAGAGCCTGATGGGGCAGGGCAGTCTCCTGCCTTTAGGTTGGTCCTTGTGGCGGCGGCTCCTCCTCCTCCTCCTCCTCCTCCTCCTCCTCCTCCTCCTCCTCCTCCTTTTTTTTTTTTTTTTTTTTTTTTTTTTTTTTTTTTAGCATTCAGATCCTCTGTAGCTGATGTCAGTCCCAGGAGTCCATTGGCTGGGCCAGTGGGCGGGATGTGGGCGGAACTGGGGCAGGAGCTGGGAAAGGTCATTTGTGACTGATTAAATCGGCTTCCTTCTGGTTTAGTCTCCTTGCTGCCCTTCCCTGTGGACTCCCCTCTTTCATTTTTGGGGGATGGGTGGGGGGAAGGAAGAGAGGGTCTTACAAAGTTCTACTTTCTATGTATGTATATTTAAAAATGTATATATTTTTGGAGTCTTGGTTTTTCTTCCCCACTTTTATTTCTCCTATCCTTTCTAAAATTAAAAATACTTTTTTTTTTTTTGAATGGAGGGAAGGAGTAGTAGCATTTAGTCAAAGAAGGTTTTAGGCCAGGGCTGTCCTATAGAACTTCTGGTGATGATGGAAGTGTTCTGTCTGGGCTGTCCAGTACAGTAGCCACCTGAGCACTCGGAACATGGGTAGTGCCACTGAGGAACTGAAATTTTCACTTTACAGATAATTTCTAACTTATGATGGTTTGACTTAACAATTTTTCGATGTTATAATGGGGGAAATGAAACATTCATTATAAACCTTTGAATTTTGATATTTTCCTGGACTAGCAATATGTGGTTGTGCTGGGTAGAGGCAGCGGCTATAGCTCTCAGTCAGCCACATGATCACGAGGGCAAACAACCACAATGTACTGTGTGGCCAACATATTTTGGACACTGTGTTTTGTGTTTTCACATCCCATGATGTCTGCAAAAGGCCCATCTATGTTTCCTGCTTCTAGTGAAGAAAAACTCTTTTCTTAAAAAATACATTTGTTATTGATTTCAGAGAAGAAGGGAGTGGAAAAGAGAGATGGAAACATCAATGATGAGAATCACTGATCAGCTGCCTCCTGCATGCCTCCCACGGGGGATTGAGCCCACAACCTAGGCATATGCCTCTGACTGGAATCAAACCTGTGACCCTTCAGTCTGCAAGCCAATGCTCTCTCCACTGAGCCAAGCTGGCTAGGGCTAAAAAAGCTCTTAAAAAAAAAAAAAATTAAATCTTGCCCAGCAGGTATAGCTCAGCAATTGAGCATTAAGACAGGAACCAAGAGGCTACTGGTTCGATTCCCGGTTAGGACACATGCCCAGGTTGTGGGCTTGATCCCATGTGCAGGGCGTGCAGGAGCCATTTTTTCATATGACTCTTGGCCATCTGTATGTCCACTTTGAAAAAGTGTCCTATTTAGGTCATTTGGAAGGCAGTTAACTCTTGAGATGAAACCCAAGATAATGCCATGATGTTTCCCTCTCTCATTGATGTTTCTCTCTTGCCCTCTCCCTTCCTTTCTAAAAAAAAAAAAAAAAAAAAAAATCAATAAAATATATTTAAAAAATTAAATCTTTGTTGTTGAAAGTATTACATATGTGCCCCTTTCCCTCCCATTAACCCCTTCTATTTCACCCCACTGCCCACCCCAGGCCTTCACCATCCTATTGTCTGCGTCTGTGGGTTATTTATACATATATACAGGTTCTTTTTTTTTTTTTTTTTAATATATTTTTATTGATTTTGTACAGAGAGGAAGGGATAGAGATAGAGAGTTAGAAACATCGATGAGAGTCATCGATCAGCTGCCTCTTGCACGCCCCCTACTGGGGATATGCCAGCAACCAAAGTACATGCCCTTGACCGGAATCGAACCTGGGACCCTTCAGTCTCCAAGCGGACGCTCTATCCATTGAGCCAAACCGGTCCTGGCTGTATACAGGTTCTTTGGATGATCTCCTCCCTCCCCCCTTGCCTCTGGAGTTCTTCAGCCTGTTCCATGCTTCTATGTCTCGGGGTCTGTTTTGTTCATCAGGGTTTTTTTTTATCCATTAGATTCCACATACAATCCAGGCATGTGCCCTGACCTGCAATTGGTGCAGGAATGACATCCAACCGAGTCAAAATAGGTCAGGTGTTTTAAAAAATATATATTTTATTTGTACAGAGAAGAAGGGAGAGAAATAGAGAGTTAGAAACATCGATGAGAGAGAGACATCGATCAGCTGCCTCTTGCACACCCCCTACTCGGGATATGCCCGCAACCAAGGTACATTCCCTTGACTGGAATCGAACTCGGGACCCTTCAGTCCCCAAGCCAGACGCTCTATCCATTGAGCCAAACCAGTCTCGGCAGGTCAGGTGTTTTAAATACATTTCAGTTTATGGTATTTTCAATTATGGTGGGTTTATCAGTACTTAACCCCATTGTAAGACAATTAGCATCTGTATTTAATTTTAATGAATTGAAACTTAAATAGCCACAGGTGGCTGCTGGCTGCTATATTGGATGGTGCAGTTTTAGCTGATTACAGTGGAGCCAGGAGATAGTGCCTTGGGAGAAGGTTGGGAGTGTGTTGTAGTGGACTGGTTGGGTAGTTGAAGCAGGCTGGATTGGGAGGAAGAGTGGGCTGCCTTCTCACTGCCTGCTTGCCCTTCCTTTCACCTTGGAGGCGTTTGCCCCATTCTGTCTCCCTTCCTCCCCTTCCAGTTGCTGGCAGACGTGTTAGTGCTCAGCGAGAAGAGGAAGAAGGGAAACTTGATTGTCAAGGTGTCCTGAGTTGGTTTCTCAGCCACCACCCCAAGAAGCAAGTGGGACCTTGGCCAAGATGCTTCACTTCTCTGAGCTTAGCAAGTGGGTAACTAGAGTCCCTGCCCTGTTGGAATTTAGGAAGCACCTAGATCTTTGTGCAAATTAGAAGTATTTCTCCTTCCCAGCTGTTTGGGCTGCCTGTCCAAGGGCTCCAGTGCCTCCAAGTGGTTGGTGTCCATGTGTACTGTGGGATGAGTGGAGATGGACATTATTGGTCTCCTAACTGTATGTGTCCGTCTCCTTGGCTTGTGTCTTAAGGAACCCAGCCTCTTTTTTCACATTATGAAGCACTTTATGATTTACAGTGCCTACTCACACCCATTGTTTTATTTATTATAGCCACACTGTAAGGTACCTATTGGTAGTTTTCTCTCTTTACAGGTGAGGAAATTGGGACTTAGAAAGGTGAAGTCTGGAGCTCAGGACTCCAAAGCCCAATTTCTTTTCATAGTACCAGGCTGCCAGGAAGAGAGCATTAGGGCTTTCCTTTAGGTCTTGCAACATCTTGCTTAGTTCAGTCTTTACTTGTCTCACCTGCCTTTGCCCAGGTGCCTGGCAGGAAGCTGGGTTATAGAACTGGCCTCAGCCCTTTCCCTCCTTTCCTCAGCCCTGCTGGCCATTTCCCCCCTCTTTGGATGAGTCCCTTTTACCCAGAAGTCTTTGTAGGAATGTGGTCCTTCAGATGTCGGTTGACAGGCCACTTCCTTAGAGGAGCTTTCCCGACTTCAGCATGTTTCCATCTGTAAAATAGGGACTACAGTGGTACCCCTTCAGAGAGATGTGAGGAGAAAGGAAGTGGTTCAGTCCAGCAGGCCTCAGCTTTACACCCTGCCCCCACTTCTCTAGGAAGCTTTCGTCATGCTCCATCTGATGCTGGTAGTAAAAGGTTCCCCCAGAGCTATGGCAGGGCTTTATATCCATCTCATCATGATGCCTGTGAAGTAGCGATTCTTATTTTTTCCATAAGGGACGCAGGGTCAGGGCAACTGTCTCCTGCCCAAGATGATAGTTGGAAAGGGACAAAGTCAGGATTCAAACACAGACAGTCTCATCCTGCCCTGCCCTGTGCTAACCACTAAACTATGCTGCCTCTAAGTCCTCCCCTTTTTATTGTAACTTGTGTGTTAAGTATCTGTCATCCATCCCTTCCCTTCATCTCCAACCCTCAGTTCAGGCCTGACTTGGAGCCAGTGTTCCGTATCTACATGTTTGACAACAGTTGTCAAATACATTATTTGGTTACTTGCATGTTCATTATGTGCCAGGTGCTGGGCTAAGTACTCATACCATCCTCTGTTTACACATGAGGAAACTGAGGCTCAGGGAGCTTTAGTTACACAGCCAAGGGACAGCAGTTTGTTCAAGTCCTTGATCATAACCTTGGTGCTGTAGGGAGTGACTCCATGAGGGGTCACCCCAGCATTGACCCACGCAGACCCATCCAGAGCAGGTATTCCTGTTTCCTGTGTGGTGGGAGAGCATGTGGCGTCAAGACTTTGTGTAAATGTGTGTAGCCTCTGCCATTGTGACTCCCTGGCCACCAGGACAAACACACCCTCTCTCCCAAAACAAAAGAAGTAGGTGGAGTCCCATCTTCCTCTGCAGGCTTTTACCACCAACTCCCTCCCTTGATGGAGCATTTCTTCAGGACCAGGCACTGCTGAGCCCTTCACGGAGCTCACTGAATTAGTACAGTAAACTGAGATGCCTGCAGAGAAGGGGCATAGCCAAGGGTCAACTCTAATGTATGGGGTGTGCCACAGTGCCCTGACAGTAGCTCTCCAGTCGCTAGTGCTGCCTTCACACCCTGATCTGCTATGGTCCTGACCTCTGCTGGCCTCTGGACTACCCTCCTAAAGCTCCTCCCCGGATCGCAGGCTAGTGGGATTCTAGTGCCAGTGAATGTAACCATCCATCCATTTGCATTTGTTCAATAATTGCCTGTTGAGTGCCTGCTCTGTAACCAACCTGGACATGAACCCTGCCTTCCCAGAGCTTGTGATGTATGTGTGGACAGACACAACACAAAAGGATCCTCTAGGTGGATGAAAAGGTCCGGCCATGTGAGTGCTCAGAGGGGGAGCACAGTCTGCAGAACTCATTCTGCAGTTGTTTCCCTCGCACGCAGAGGGTAAGTATGCTGTGATGTCAAGCCTGGACCTGCCCTGCTGTTGGGAGTGGAATTTCCTTTATTTCCTTACAACTATAATCACAGATAAATGCACACATGTTCAAGCTCCCCTCTGGAACCTTGGAGGCTTCTTCACTGCAATTAAAGGAGAGAGGGAAAGGAAACACACTTGAGCACAGTGTGTGAGGTCCAGCTCATGGCAAACTTTAGCTCCTGTTGGACGTAAAGCCACCATTCTGAGCTAAGAGGGATCTGGCAACCTGTGGGAAGTACAGATGTAGACATGTGGAAACCAAACCAGCTATCACAGTTGGGTTAGGAGCATGGGTTTTGGGGTCTGAATGTTGGACCTACCCAGGTTTGAAGCCAATCCTGACCTATTTAGTTGTAGCTCTGTGGCCTGGTGCAGGTTATTTTATCTCCCAGAGCCACAGTTTTCTCATCTACTCAAGGGCAGTATTAAGATTGTGCATGCAGAGTTCAGCTTGGCACCCAGCAAGTGTTTAATCAAGGGGAGCTATTGCCATATTGAGACCAGTTCAAGGGTAGTTCAAGAGCTAAGAAATGGAATTGGTTTCTATCCTGTCACATATGTAGACTTCTCACGGGCTTTCCCAGCCAGGTGTCCCCTGATCCCAGCAGGTGTGATGCTCCCCACAGAACTCCTCCAGCCAATCTTAGCTCCTTCCAGGTTCCACAGGGACACACCACTCCTCACATTTTGCCTTTTGCATGTTTTATTCCTCTGGATTCGAATGCTCTTTCCCTGACTCGTAGATATCCTTCAGGTCTCAGCTCTGATGTCCCTTCCTCAGAGAAGCCTGCCCCTCTTTCCACTAGACTGTGCAGAGTCCCTTGGCTTCTAGGAGAACGTGACTCACCCTCATCAGTACTTGTTCAGCATCTGTCTTCCATGCTGGGTTCCCAGAACCCAGCAGAGGGCTTGGAATGAAGCAGGTGCTCAAATATTTGTTGAGTGAGTCAGACTGGGCTTATGGGGGGAGTTAGGCCTGGTGTGGAGAGGGCACTGGTGTGTGGAGCAGTTTGCCCAGTTATGGGGGAAGAAATAGTAAAGAGATGAGTGCAGTGATATGGTGGAATAAATGATAATCAACATTTTTTTTGAGCATTTACTGTGTGACTTATAAGTGCTTTGCTAACATTTTACATGCATGATATCATTTAGCCTCATAATATTTCTTTTTTAAAAAAATATATTTTATTGATTTTTTTACAGAGAAGAAAGGAGAGGGATAGAGAGTTAGAAACATCGATGAGAGAGAGACATCGATCAGCTGCCTCCTGCCCACCCCCTACTGGGGATGTGCCCGCAACCAAGGTACATGCCCTTGACCGGAATCGAACCCAGGACCTTTCAGTCCGCAGGCTGACGCTCTATCCACTGAGCCAAACCGGTTTCGGCTCATAATATTTCTTTAAAAAAATATATTTTTATTGATATCAGAGAGGGAGAGAGACATAGAAACATCAATGATGAGAATCATTGATTGGCTGCCTCCTGCACACCCCCTACTGGGAATCAAGCCTGCAACCTGGGCATGTATGTGCCCTTGACCAGAATTGAACCCTGGACCCTTCAGTCCCCAGGCTGATGCTTGGAGCCAAACTAGCTAGTGCTAGCCTCATAACATTCCATAAGGTGTTCATATATATATATGTGTGTGTGTGTATATATACATATATTTTTTTATTTTTTATTTTTTACAGAGAGAAAGGGAGAGAGGGATAGAAAGCTAGAAACATCGATGAGAGAGAAACATCGACCAGCTGCCTCCTGCACACCCCCCCACTGGGGATGTGCCCACAACCAATGTACATGCCCTTGACCGGAATCGAACCTGGGGACCTTTCAGTCCGCAGACTGACGCTCTATCCACTGAGCCAAACTGGTTTCAGCCATAAGGTGTTCTTGTTCTCCATTTTACAGATGAGAAAGGACAGACTTGGAAAAGGAGAAATCACTTTTCCATGGTCACCAAACAAGGAATTTGAACTCAGGCAGGCTGACTCTTAAAAACTCACAGATTTAGGCCTAACCAGTTTGGCTCAGTGGATAGAGCCTTGGCCTGCGGACTCAAGGGTCCTAAGTTCAATTCTGGTCAAGGGCATGTACCTTGGTTTCTGGCACATCCCCAGTGGGGGGTGTGCAGAAGGCAGCTGATGTTTCTCATCAATGTTTCTCTCTCACTCCCTTCTTCTCGGTAAAAAAATCAATAAAATATGTTTTAAACACCCCCCCCCCACACACACACACATACAGATTTAACTCTATTTTGGGTGGTCTCCTTGGTGGGTACAGATGTCAGTAAAGAACTTACCTGGCTGACTCGAGGGCACCGGGCAGGGATGTCTGTGCTTGTGGTAGCTGTGGGCGATTGAAAGAGGGAGGCAGTTCTCTGTGGCCAGACTAGGGAGGTCTTGAATGCCAGGGGCCTCTGATAATAATAATAGCTGCCAGTTCTTGAGCTTCCTGCCATTTTATTGAATTATTTAATCTTCACAACAACCCTGTGGGATAGTTGTTATCTTCATCCCAATTGGATGAGGAACTAAGACACAAAGACGCTCTAGTAACTTGCCCAAGGTTATGCAATGAGAGAGTGGTGGAGCTGGAATTCACACCCTATGTGTCAGGCCCCAGAGTCCACCTGAGCCATGGTGACTTAATCATCAGGCCTACTGACTGTTCCCATGGAGTTGAGCCAGTGGAACCTGGTGCTGCTCCTGACTCAGGTGTCCCTTGCTTCTCTCCCCAGCATTCGCAGAGACAGCAGCAGCAGCACTTCTCATCCCTGGATGACAAGCCCCAGTTCCCAGGGGCCTCAGCAGAGTTCATAGACAAGCTGGAATTCATGCAACCCAATGTCATCTCTGGGATCCCCATCTACCGTGTCATGGATCGGCAGGGTCAGATCATCAACCCCAGTGAGGATCCCCATGTAAGAGGCCTTCTCCTCCACCCCCTGCTTCCCTTGCCCATGTCCTCTCTGGTCCCACAGACCCCACATATCTCTGTGCCTCTATTTGCAGCTGCCGCAGGAGAAGGTGCTCAAGTTCTATAAGAGCATGACGCTGCTGAACACCATGGATCGCATCCTCTATGAGTCCCAGCGGCAGGTGGGTGGGGACAGGTTGGGGGTGGGGGGAGCTTGGAATTATCTGAGGTCCTCCTACATGTGTGTGGGCCAAAAGACAGTTCCCAAGGAGGAGAGAGTGGAATGGAGCCTTTGTCTTGGGGTCCTTAGAGTTCTTGGGGTTCTTTTGGAGCTCTGGAGGGGGATGTGGGAAGGGGCAGAAGGATGGACCAGATCACTGAAAACAGCTAATGTGCACCAGATTGGGGACTTAACCTTGCAGGGAGAGGGAAGGTAGGAGATATGAGGGCCCTTCTTGGGAACTCATAGTCCTGAGAAACAGTGACCCTTGGTGCTCCCCTGAGTGCCCATGCCAAACATGCTGTGATCCTCAGTGGGCAGAGATCCAGTCAAATAGGGAAATACTGACTCAAGTAACTAAAGTCCAGAGGGCACAGCTGGCTCTGGGGGCTTGAAAGATGTCATCAGATCTGTTTCTCCGAGTGTCTTTTCTCCTTTCTTTTGCCTTGGCTTCCTTCATTCTCAAACAGTGGTGGTCTCTGGATGCTCCAGCTCAGGGAGAGGTGGTAGAGAAAGGGTTCAGGGTGTAATTGAAGTGTTCATCTGTTACTTTTTTGGTTTTGCAGCCCTGGGAAAGCTGCTTAGCTTCTCAGTGCATCAGTTTTCTGGTCTGCACTGGGTTTCCATGAGGAATGGCCTTAGGAACAATGAACTTGGCATTAGGCAGCCCATAACCAATATTAGCTATTTAGCCTCATGATAATTAAACCTGCTCCTTAGTGGTGGAAAGAAAGTAGTCCCTAATGTTCCAAGCAGAAGACCTAGGCTGATGCTCATTGGCCAGGCTTTGGTCACCCCTCCCTGAACCAGCTCCTGTGATAGGCCAGGCTGGGGCTATCCCAGGAACCAAGGGAATAGAGGAGTAGACAGAGAGCATGAGTGCTGGGGTTCCTGTTAGAAAAGGGGGAAGAATATTGAGTAGGCAGGTCCTCAGATGTCATCACACCTGCTGGAAATTTGCATTTGTATCAAGCCACTGCTGTAATCTAAAGTATGAGGCTCACTGGCCTAGAAGACAGACTGAGCAGATCAGCAGACAGCCTACTTCCAGATTCTTCCTCTCAGGAACACTCCGTATGGGCTCTCCAACTTAGGGTGGCGTCTCCACCTTGCCCAGAAACTCCGGTGGCTCCATGTCCAGAGGATCACATCTGGCCCTTCCTGTTAATTCATCTCCTATTCCACTGTGGCTGTGGCCTCTCCATAGCCTCAGTGCCAGGCCAGGCCATCTTCCCACCCTCACACATGCCTGGGTTCCTTCCTGCCCCCGCATTGGCTGCACAGACAGGGGCTTTGTAATCCCACAGATGTAGATCCAATCACAGCTATGGCTTTGGGCAGATGATTTTTCTTGTCTTTGTCTCAATTTCTTTAATATATTTTAAAAATGGGGATAAGAAGAGAACCTACCCTGTAGAAATTCTATGAGAACCAACATGTAAGGCCCCTTGCCCAGTGGCTGACAAGAAAGCCCTCAATGAGCTCGACTCATCCATCAAGGTTTATCCTGTTAGCTAGGATTACTTGCACTTGCAAGTAATAGTCCCTCCACTCCCCTCAAAAAAATCCTAACAAAAATAAAAGCAGTAGCGTCAACAGATTAATCATTTTTTTTCTCTGCATAAAAAACATCTGGAAACAGGTGATCTGGGCTGGTCTGGTGGCACCACAATGTCATTCGATACCCAGTGTTGGCTTCTAGCCTTGAGGACCTCTCATGAATCTAATGGCTGCTGGGGTTCTCTCTATCACATTTCATTCCAGGCAGGTAGTGGAAGGTGGTAGGTCAGACGTACCACTTTCCAGGTATCTCCCATAGCCACCTGTATAGGACTTCCTAACAATATCTCACATTTCATCGGTCACTCCTGGCTACAAGGGAGAATGAGAAATGTAGTGTTTTAGTCTGTGCAGTCGCTGCCTGTGGTGAATGAGACCTCTGTTAGCAGAGAGGAAGAGGAGTAGGATACGGGGTGGCAACCAGTGAACTCTGCCAGTAACCGAGGTCCTGTTTCCTCAGGGGGACCCTCTTAGGCTCCTCCCCTCCCCAATCTCAGCCCTGCCAGGCACTCAGCACCTGGCATCCACCCACTCACTTGGCTCTGAGAGGTCAATTAACTTTTAATTGGCTCCCCACCTAGAAGAAAGCATTATTCACCTGGTTCCCCCACCATGACAGAAGGTCAGGCCTGCAGAACACATGAGCACTATGCAGAGGGCATCCTGCAGGTGCCAGCCCAGGCTCTATTTCACTTTACAGGTAGTTCTAGGGAGCTCATATCTGTCTCTATGCCAGAGGTTTCCCAGATCTCCAATCAGAACTCTCCTCTTAGCCCCAGATCTAGTTGGCTTCTTGTCCTGATGTCTCACACTAAATTCAGCCTGTCCAGACTTGGCCTCTGCATTTCTTCCCAGACCTGCTCCCCTCCCACCCTTAGGCCAGTTCTCAGTGAGAGGTGCCCCACCATCCCCATTTGCCCAAAGTGGAGGCCTGCATTTAATTTCTCACTCCTTCTCCCTTCCTATCACTTTCTCTGTCCTAGACATTTAGTTAGAAATCCATTCTGCTGGATGAGTTGCCTGCCTTTCATCGGATGCTTATTGCCTCATATTCCAAGATGGCTGCCACAGGTCCAGGCTTCAGGGCTGTGTGCCAGGCAGGAAGAAAGAAGAAAGCAAAAGCAGACTTCCACTTAAATATCTGGCTAGAGCTGTGTCCTGTGGCCACCTCTGGCTGTGAGGGAGGCTGGGAACCTAACATTTGGCTTTTCCAGGCTCTGGGATTGGGCACCAGTATAGCCAGCCATGGGGGTCTGCCATAGATGCTTTAAAAAAATAAAATTAATAATAATAATAATAATAAAAGTATATGTGTGTGTGTGTGTGTATATATATATATATATATATATATATATATATTTTTTTTTTTATTTAATTGATTTTTTACAGAGAGGAAGAAAGAGGGATAGTTAGAAACATTGATGAGAGAAAAACATCGACCAGCTGCCTCCTGCACACCCCCTACTGAGGATGTGCCTGCAACCAAGGTACATGTCCTTGACCGGAATCAAACCCAGGACCTTTCCGTCCGCAGGCCAATGCTCTATCCAATGAGACAAACTGGTTTCGGCTAGACTGCTTTTTAAAAAATTAATTATTATTATTTTGGTTAATCTTAACTTGGAGATATTTTTTTTCCATTGACTTTTAGAAAGAGTGGAAGGGAGGGAGTGAGGGAAAGGAAGGGGGGGAGAGAGAGACAGACAGACAGACATCTATGCGAGATGCATTGTTTGGTTGCCTCCCGATACCCCTCACTGGGGATCAAGTTGGCAACCAGGGCATTGTGCCCTGATCCAGAATCAAATTGGGGTCCTCTTAATTCATGGGTTAACACTCAATCACTGAGCCACACCAGCTGGGTGGGCTAATGTAATTTTTTAAAATTTTTATTTTTCAATTACAGTTGACATTCAGTACTATTTTTAATTTAATTTTTATTGGGTATTATTTTATACTAGTTTCAGGTGTACAGCATAATAGACAGTTATATAATTTACAGAGTGATCCCCCCAATAATTCAAGAACCCACCTGGCACCATACATAGTTATTACAGTATTATTGACTGTATTCCCTATGCTGTACTTTATATTCCCATGACTATTTTGTAACTACTGATTTGTATTTATTTTTTTTAAAAAACTTTTATTTATCGATTGAGTTTTAGAGAGAACCATATTGATTTGTTGTTCCACTTATTTGTGCATTCATTGGTTGCTTCTGTATGTTTCCTGAACAGAGATCAAACTCAACCTTGGTGTATTGGGACGATGCTCTAACCAATTGAGCTATCCAGCCAGGGCTGTTTTGTGTTTAGTTTGTTTATTTTGTTCTTTAGATTCCACATATAATTGAAATCATATGGTATTTGTATTTCTCTAACTGACTTATTTCACTTAACATAATACTCTCTAGGTCTCTATTATTGGAAATGGTAAGATTACATTCTTTTTTTATGGCTACGTAATCTAGTGTGTGTGTGTGTGTGTGTGTGTGTGTGTGTGAGTGTGTGAGTGTGTGTGTGTGTGTGTATGTGTGTATGTGTGTGTGTGTGTATATATATATATATATATATATATATATATATATATATATATCACATCTTCTATTGATAGGTACTTGGGTTGCTTCCATATTGTGGTTATTGTAAATAAAAAATATGGAACGTGAATTTGCATGTTATCTTTGTATAGGGGCCATGCTAATCTTGGTCTCATTTCAGTTTTAGTATACGTGCTGTCAAATTGAGCACGGAGACTGCTTCTTTTTATTTATTTTTTATTTTATTGATTTCAGAGAGGAAGGGAGAGGGAATAGAAACATCAATGAAGAGAGAGAATCATTGATGGGCTGCCTCCCGCATGCCCCCTACTAGGGATCGAGCCCACAACCTGGGCATGTGCCCTTAACCAGAATTGAACCCGAGACCCTTCAGTCCGCAGGCCAATGCTCTATTCACTGAGCCAAACCAGCTAGGGCTGGAGACTGCTTCTCAAGACTGTCAACCATCCACTCCTCTCCATGCTTCTCAGCACTACCAGGCCAGGCCACTGGCCCTTCTGCATGGCTTGCTGCACTCAGTCCTGTTTTCTCCATCCATTTCCCACACTGTAGCCTGAGAGACCTTTCTAAAACATTCTGGGTAAAGTCTAGGATGTGTAATTTCCTGCACTACCTGGGTTCTGCTTCTGTCTCCCGCCTCATCCTTCCCCACTTTTCCACTTCATCCTTCCCCACTTTTCCCCACTTTTCCACTTCATGTCCCAGCCCTTCCTGCCTCATGGCCTTTATTGTTCTCTCTGCCTGGAAACTTCCCCCCACTCAGACCTTCGCTCAGCTTAGGCATTATTCCCTGGTGCCCCTCCCTGGTGGGGTAGGTATGTCCTTATAGCTTTCATCATAGAGCTCCCTCACTCTGGCTCTAACCAGTCTTGCAGTTCCTCCATGAAGGGTGAAATCCCAGTGTGGCCTGGCTCAGAACAGCCTTCATGAAGTCGATTAACAGAGTCATCAGATGGTCAGGATTTGGATGGTTCTCTGTGGTTGCCTAGCATAACTGAGCTCGGGCCTCTGGGCCTCCCTCTACCTCCAGGGCCGGATCTCCTTCTACATGACCAACTATGGTGAGGAAGGGACGCACGTGGGGAGTGCAGCAGCCCTGGACAATACTGACCTGGTGTTTGGCCAGTACCGGGAGGCAGGTACGTCTGCCCATGGCCCTGCCCTGTGGAGCACATGCCAGAGACCTGGGTCTGCGGTCCCCATCGAGGCAGGTCAGGCCCAGTACCTCTTGAGTTATCCCGGGAGCTCTTCAAGGAGTGGCATGATGTCAGGGAGGTCCAAGGAGCTGGAGGAAGAGCTTTTCAAGCAAGAGAGCCAAGCCAGGTACAGGAGTTCAGAGGAGTACCCCTCTGTGTAAGCCCGGCACTGTTGAGATTAAAAGCTGTGCTCGTCATTGGTCCATGGCTATCAGTTGTCAGATTTGGGGCAGGCCACTTCCCTTTTCTGAGTGTCAGCTTTCTCATCTCCAAAATCAAGATGATGGTGGTATTGTAACCCCTGCACTGGGGGTTGCTGGGAACATGCAGTGAGGGCAGATCTAGCTATAGGTGTGGTTCCCTGTTCACATGGTGTAAGATCTGCTGGCCTCCCTCGAGGCGCGTTAAGCAGAAGCAGATGGGAAGGCCTGGCAGGTCCCAGCCAGGGAGCTGGCTGGCTTCTAAGTGAACAAGTGCAGGGAAGAAAGGATCAAAGGCTAGGACTGAAGAAAATTCATGTGCATAAAAGAGTGTTTGGGGTGAAGTAGTTAGTGTTTGGGGTGGGGAGTCGAGGGGCTGGTTCCAGACTGGTTGTTGATATGGGGGCCTTGCCAGGGAGCCTCCCCCTGGGGCTTCCAGGGAGACAAATCTAGAGCCTTCCTCATAGGTACTTTATGACCGAGGGCAGGTTGCTTAACTGCTCCTTAGTTTTCTCATGTATAATGGGAGTGGTGAACCCTTCCTTTCAACATGGTTGTTGAGGGCGTTTGTGGGAGAGATGACACAAAGCTGTTAGTTCAGGTCTTGGCATGGGGTAAGCACTCTGTAGGAGTCATATTGTGACTGGTGGGGGCCTCTCACCCTGGGATAGCTTTTCAGGAGGGAGGCAGGGCTTGGCCAGGCTGGCTGTGCAGAGCCCTCCCTTGACCAATAGGGTGTTCTAGTCTACTCTTGGGCTGTCTACTCCCCTCTGCACTGCATCTGATCTCTAACCCCACATGCTGTAAAGGACAGACACCCTGTGATAGTCTGTGGTTCAGCATTGTTAGCAAGAAGATTTCCCCAGAGACTGGGCTATTTTTGCTGATGGGGTCTCCAGGCAGGACCAAGTGGGGGTCCTGGACTCATGGTGGCAGTTGGGCACTCCACACAGGGCTGTTTGGGCCCTGACACCACAGTCAACACAGGTCCTGCTTCTGGGCAGCTGCTGAGGACACTCGTGCCAGGTAAGGGGAGGTGAACTCTGTGGTCATCCTTGACTCTCTCAATCTCCCCGCTGTGGAGTGGGGAGAACAGTAGTACTCAGAACAACAGAGCCTGGATTTTGATGCCTCAGGGACCCCTCACCAGCTAGGTAAGGTGGGCATCACAGTTCCCTGTCAGAGCCTTGTGGTCGGCTTCTCTTTGATGGTAGGTAGGCAAACACCAGAGATTTGTTTAAAGAAACTAGGTACTTTCTTATAAAAAAAAAAAAAAAAAAAAAAAAAAAAGCAAGCTAGATGTCTTTATCTTTTGAAAAACTGAATGACTTAGTCTCCCTGGGTAGCAATCAGTTGGTCTGAACAGTGGCTTCCTTCTTGAGATATGCCTGTGCTTTTAAAAAAAAAAAAATTTTTTTTTTTTCATTAAAATCTTCACTGGAGGATATTTTTTCGATTTTTTTTTTTTTTTTTTTTTTTTTTAAGAGTGTGAAAGAGAGGGGAGAGAGAGGGTGGGGAGAGACTTTGATGTAAGAGAGGCACATTGACTGGTTCCCAGGATGGAACATGCTCTTGATTGGGAACTGAACCCTTGACCTTTGAGTCTGCTCTAACCACCATGTAAAACCGGCTAGGGCCAGGCCCTGTGTTTTCTGGCCTGACCACCTGGTTCCTGCACCTGCTGGTCCCCTAAGCATGCCAGTATGCCTCCCCTGCTCTTGTCCAGCTCCTTAGTGTACAAACAGGAAATTGGAAGCTTGGGCAGGAAGAGCCTTACTCTGGGACCCCCACGGGGTTGGTCTACCCCCTTAGGTCCCCATCCCTCACTAACTGCTGCCTTCTCCCCATGCAGGTGTGCTGATGTATCGGGACTTCCCCCTGGAACAGTTCATGAACCAGTGCTACGGCAACGTGAACGACCTGGGTAAGGGGCGCCAGATGCCCGTCCACTATGGCTGCAAGGAGCGTCACTTCGTCACCATCTCCTCTCCACTGGCCACACAGATTCCTCAGGGTGAGGATGCATGTCCCGGGCCTGAAACACAGACCAGTGCCATACCCCTGTGCAGGCCCCAGCCCTTCTCCATACCAGCGGGGCTTTCTGGTTGTTGACACAGAGCATTGGTCTGACCTCCAGACTTGCTGTGTTGGTGTCCTCATCGGTTTGGCAGGCAGGCCCACACATTTGTCCATGCACAGACATAGCCAACTGCATGTGACTGAGTGTATGCCAGGTTCCTTGCAGGTCATCTGGCAGGTAATTAGTCCAGGATTCAAATCATGGACTGTGGCTCCAGAGCCTGGGTTCTTGACCCCTACTCTTCTCTGCTTCAGTCCAGGTCCCCTAAAGCTTATTCTGGAAGTCCACAGCACTTAGAGCAGTTGGGTGGCTTTTGTTAAAGGCAACTGCTTGGGAAGCAGACACACTAAGGCTGGGCCTGCCGCCCACACAGTGCGAGTATGGGAGAGGACTGCTCTCCCTTCCCTTGATTGAGGGACAGTCTGGGCTCCGGCTTTCTCTGCTCAGGGAAACTCAGATACATGAATTGCTGTGTCTACCAGGTCTTAGCAGAGTGCCTGGCATATCGGAAGGCCCCATGTACATTCGCTCATAGTGTTCTGTTTGGAAACAAGGAATGAGCCATTTGTGCTCTGAAGTGGGAGATAGGCAGGACAGCCTTCTAGGTGAAGGTGGCATTTTTGCTGAAGGTAGGTAGGATTTTCATGAGGCGGGTCCCTGGCCTTCACCTTCCTTTTGGGTGCACGTGTATGGAGTCTCTGCTATGTGGGTGTTATTCTAGGTATAGTAAACAAGAGACAGACAAAACCATCCGACATCCTGATGCTGACCTGGAGGTAGGGGAGACGGACAGTACACAAGGTGAAGAAGTGACCCATGGAGCATGTTGGGTTAGGTCCCGCAGGGGGAAATGAGGCTGGGCCGGGAGGGGGGCGGTGCGGGGCACAGGGAGGTAGGAGTTTTGTGTGATGGGAAAGGTGGGATGGTATCACTAGATGACATTTCAGGACAGACCAGGAGGCAAGTGGGGAACCAGCAGGATTCTTGAGAAGGGGCCTGCCTGATGTGTTTGTGGGTAGGGAGGAGCTATGAATGGGGATGGGGGTGTCCCAGAGATATGGAGAGTGCAGATCTTGGGGCCTCAGGGCCTTGGACTTTAACCCAGAGTGGGATTAGTGCCGTAGGGCCACAGGAGAGATGTGGTCAGCTGTGCAGACTTGGCCTGGCTCACAACTGACCAGTCCTTTGGCTGCACTGAAAGTAATAGGAGGGGTCTAGGTTGGGCCAGGGAGGTGAAGGAGATGGGGAGAAGGTGTCAGATTCTGGCTCTTATTTTTGAAGGTAGAGTAATAAGTGTGGGGATGACAGAGAGTGAGGAGTCAAAGATGGTGCTCATGTTTTGGGACTGAGGAGTGGATGTCAGCTGAGGGGAGAAGAAGGGATAGGGCAGGTTTGGGGGACAGTCAGGATACTACGTGATTTAGAAAAAAATAGTTTTTTAAAAAAATAGGTTTTTATTGACTTTTAGAGAGAGAGAAACAGAATCATTGATGTCAGAGAAATATTAATCAATTGCCTCCTGTATGCATTCCAACCAGGGATTGAACCCACAACCTGGGGATATGCCATCAAACTGGGAATCAAACTGGTGACCTTTCAGTGCATGAGGCAATGGGTGCTCAGTCAACTGAGCCACACCATCCAGCTCTGATATCAGGTGTTTTCTTCCCAGTGATAGCTTGGTCACAGCCAGCCTGAACCCCAGATCCTGGGGTTGGGGTGATGGTGTGCTTGTGTGCATGTATGAGTGCGTGCGTGCGTGCGTGTGTGTGTGTGCGCGCGCGCGCGTGTGTGAGGGTGGTGAATATTCATGGTGCTCTGCTCCTGCTTACCACCCTCTCACTGCCTACAGCGGTGGGAGCAGCCTACGCAGCCAAGCGGGCCAATGCCAACAGGATTGTCATCTGCTACTTTGGTGAGGGGGCAGCCAGTGAGGGGGATGCCCATGCCGGTTTCAACTTCGCTGCCACCCTTGAGTGCCCCATCATCTTCTTCTGCCGAAACAATGGCTATGCCATTTCCACACCCACCTCTGAGCAGTACCGCGGGGATGGCATCGGTATGGATCTGTCATCTCCTCTTCCCTCCTGTTCTCTTCCTGTGCTGTCGGCACAAGGGAGGCCGCAGGAGTTTGCTCTCCTCCCCTTTCCTTCCCTGCTCATTGTCCTCAGCAGAGCCATGGGGTTTGAGCTGCCTCTCTTTGTTCCCACAGCGGCTCGAGGCCCTGGGTACGGCATCTTGTCAATCCGTGTGGATGGCAATGACGTGTTCGCTGTGTATAATGCCACCAAGGAGGCCCGGCGGCGGGCCGTGGCGGAGAACCAGCCCTTCCTCATTGAAGCCATGACCTATAGGTGCCTGCCTTTCCCCATTCCCATCAGCCTTGACAGCCACCATCTTTACCATCTTCCCCACATGGATCATTGGGGTCTCCAAAGCCTGACCCTATCATCCCAAGTTGTATCCCCTTCCTTGCCTGGAGCAGGATTGGGCACCACAGCACCAGTGACGACAGCTCGGCATACCGCTCGGTGGACGAGGTCAATTACTGGGACAAGCAGGACCACCCCATCTCCAGGCTGAGGCACTACATGCAGAGCCGCGGCTGGTGGGATGACGAGCAGGAGAAGGCCTGGAGGAAGCAGTCCCGCAAGAAGGTGAGGGGCTCCCTCTGTTGGAAACTGAAGTCCCAGGGGTTGTCTGGAGGTGGGGCATCATGGGGAACCCTGAAAGGATGGAGGCTGGGTTTTGGGGGACATTGAACTGGGAGACTCAGGGATCACCCCAGGGATACCTGTAAATATGACCTGTGGAGCTAGGCTGCTTGGACACATGCACCTCAGCCGTGTCTTTGGCATGATGTCTGCCCTCTGCTCTCTCTTTTCTGAGGAGGGATCCTGGGTATCCACTTCAGAAGTTTGGGGAATGGGATGACTTAATCCGCAGGTGGTGTAAGTGTCCCACCCACAGCCAGCCCGTGTCCTCCCTGGCCCTGGTCATCAGGAGCCAGAGGTAAGGGTGGACCCTGGTGTCAGGCAGCAGTGTGTCCAGCTCTGTCCCTAACGACATTGTCATGGGCAAGTCTCTTTTCTGTGCCTTGGTTTCCTTATTTCTAACCTGCCTGCTTCTTAGAGCTGTTGAGTCTAAAACCATTCTATAGGCTTAGGTCAGTACCTAGTCCTGTGAAGGATGGAAATTCTGGGGTTGGGGGCATTGATGGGGATGTTAGTGATCAGCACTGTGATGATGATGTCTTCATTGTCCAGATGGGAACACAAAGGCTTGGGGTTAATGTCTCACTGAAGTCTTACAGGTAGGAGGCAGGCTCTGGGTGGGAGGCCAGCTACCCGCCCACTGTCCCGTGTCCTCCAGGTGATGGAGGCCTTTGAGCAGGCCGAGCGGAAGCTGAAGCCCAATCCCAATCTGCTCTTCTCGGATGTGTATCAGGAGATGCCTGCCCAGCTCCGCAAGCAGCAGGAGTCCTTGGTCCGTCACCTCCAGACCTATGGCGAGCACTATCCCTTGGACCACTTTGAGAAGTGAGGCCTGCTCGCCCCACCCCATCCATCTCAGGTACCCCGAGAGAGTCCCAGGCTGAGGGGTGGAGGCAGCTGGCAGGACACCGCCCTCTTCCCCAGCCAGCACTCTCCAAGGGGCCAGGGTAGGACTGAGATGTAAGAGTGGGGCTTCTGCTCCTCTAAGCTGTTACATTGTTGGGGGGGGGGCTCTCAGCCCCCACTTTGTGGTTGCAGTGCCTTTTCCCAGGGGCTAGGTGGGATGCCTCCAGGACTGGAAGCCCCTCTGGGCTAGGGCAAGCATGACAAGTTAGCCTGTGGAACTTACTCACAGTGAGAAGTGATTAGCAGGCAGTGAATAAATTTTCTCTACATTTGGTTCTCTGCCACCTTTGGTCTCTGTTTCCTGGTGTTTTGGAGGTGGGAGGAGAGTCCTTCATGATTGGTTTGGGACCTTGCCCCTTCAGTTAGAGCAGAGGTTCCCAACATTTTTTGGCCATGCCCCACCTAAGCATCTCTGAAATCCTGATGCCCCCTTTGGCACACAATTGTTTTTCAAAAAGTGAACTAATCACGTGGAAGAAGCCTTAATTTGGTCTAAAAAAGCTTCCAAAGAATATGTCATCCATGAAAGAGAAAAATAAAAAAATGAAAGGATAGTTGAAGGACTGAGGAAGAAATCACTAAGAAATTATTTAAAAAAGAATAATATGAATTGATATGAAAAAAATAGCAGTTTCAAAGCAATAGAGAATTGAAATGCATAAATATGTCACAGTATATACTTATATACTGTATATGAGGCTTCTATAACCATAAAAATGCAAAAACTTTATTGTTAATAATTCATTCTCAAATTGCCCCCCTGTGGGGCATGTCCCCTACATTGGGAACCACTGAGTTAGATGGATAAGGCCAAGGCCATTGAGGTACCTACTTCCTGGAAACTTTCACAAGGTTGAGGGCCAGCTTCAGCAGACAGGGTGGGGTGAGGTGTTCCATGGAGTGAGGCAAACCTGGTGTCCAGCAAGGTGGCCAGGAGGCTGCTGGAGCTGGCCCTGTCCGGTAGGGGTGGGGAGGGTGTCTAGTGTAAAGGTCAGGGTGTGCAGGGTATGGGTGGCTGAGCTCTGCTCTTACAAAGTTCCCAGGACCCCATAGGCACAAAAGAACACTCCAGGCCTCAGAGGGGGATGCTCATATTAAAACAAACAAACAAACATACAAAAAGACAAAAACAGTCCTCTGCCTCCTGATGCTCAGTCCCATAGCCTGGGCCAGCCCAAGAGGGGCTCAAACAATGGTGATTCTAGGACCGCATCCTCACATAGCCTAGAGGCTGAGCAAGGGGCAGGCACTGAGGCCCTGGGTCCAGACCAGGTTGGCCCTCCCTTCCCATCCTCACCGAGGGTCAGCATTGGAGCTGAGGGTCCTGCAGGTGTTTCCAGAGCCAGATGCTGTCCTGGGGTCTGATGGGTCGCATCAGCAGCAGTTCACTGAGAGCGCAGGGGTCAGGCCTAAAGTCTGCCGGCCAGGCTGTGACGAAGCCTATGTGGGCCCTGGGCGCTAGGCCAAGAGCACGGAAGCACAGGCCAATGTAGACATCGTTGAAGGGGAATGGTGCCACACGGGCTGCTGCCTGCAACAGCCAGGGTGCCAGGCGCCCAGCGATGATGTAGCCACCCCCGCTGGCATAGGCCGGGTAGTCACCTTCAAAGAAGGACAGGGGCACGTAGAAAGGTCCCCCAGGCTTCCGGAGGGGCTTGGCTTGCGTAAAGACCTCCCCCAGGTAGAGGCCTCGGGCCCAGCTGGGAGGCAGCGCCTGCAGGTAGTCCAGCAGGGCAGAAGTGTGCACAAAAGCATCATCCTGAGCTTGCAGGACGAAGCTCACACCAGCACAGTGGTGGCCAAGCCAGGACAGCAGCAGCAGGTCCTTGAGTGTCTCATTGAAAGGAACGTCGAGGAAGTCCCAGAGAAGCAGGTCACTGTAGCGGTGGCTCTCCCAGGCCACCAGAGGGCCTAGGTCAGGACCCCCCTCACCTACTGGGGACCCCAGCAGGAAGAGCAGGCGGGTTCCAGGAGCGGGACCACCCCAGGTCTCCCTCACGGCCTGTCGTTCAGCAAATCTCCCTGGTTCCGACTTGACAGCCAGCAGCAGGTAGGGGATATTGGTTTCCCCACAGCTGGGCACTTGGCCACGGCCCCCTCCAGGCAGCCACTGAGGGAAGCTCCGGCAGGCTGCTGACAGCAAGAAGCGGCGGAGGTCCTCAGGGTAGGAGGTGAAATCGGGGATTTCAGCAGCCGCGGCAGCCCCCCAAGCCCGGCAGTCTCCCTGCTCCGTGCCGTTCCCACTGGGCAGGGCCCCCAGCCGCCACTGCTGCTGGTTCCAGTAAGCCAACGGCAGTGGGCCAGTTTGGCCCAGACGGGCCGAGAGATTAGCTGGCAGGGTGGGCTCAGTACTGGCAGGTGTGGGGCCTGGCAGGGTGCCCTGGGGTCCCAGATAGACCTTGCTCAGCCGAGACTCTGATGTCCACTCGATGTACACTTTGAGGCCCAGGAGCGTAAGCAGTGCTGACAGGCAGAGAAGGCACTTGGGGCAGCGCATGACCCAGCCCAGGGTAGGGATGGCCGCGGTGGGAGCTGCAAAGGAGCCACAGAGGCTTTTGGAGTGCAAGATGAGCCTTCATAGTTCCCACCAACCCAGTAATGGCCTCTTAGTCCCAGACCCTAAACTGACCCCTATTTCTGTACCTGGAATCACTGCTCCAATCCCATTCCAACACCCGCTCTTTCCACTCTCAGCTCAATTCCTTCCACAGTTTGTTCCCATTCCCCCATTCATCCCCCTCTCCAGGAATCAGGATCCCTGGGGTCAGCTCCTTCCAGTGTCAGAGAAACCCAAACTCCCTTGCTCCAACTGCCCCTCCCCAGGGACTGGGGAGCCCTCTTTACCTCTGGGTCCGGCTCCGGCACCCCAGGCCTCTGGTCAGGCCCGCCCAGCTCCCTCCCTTTTGCCCAGGTCCAGCTGGGGCTGAATCTTCTTTCTCCGAGTGTCATTGTTCTTCAGCCCAGCCCAGCCCTGCCCAGCCCAACCAGAGGGGTGGGGCAGGGAGGGAGAGCAGGCAGCTGGGAGGGCCCCAAGGGCTGGGAGGGACTGGGGCGGGGCTGAGGGAGGCAGGGAAGAGGGGGAGGGCAGGAGGCTGACCTGAGAGATTGGGCTCTGGCTTGTTGGGGCTGGTTTTCTGGTGAAGCAGAGGGGATTGGCTGCAGAGACTGGGAGAATCTGAGGGAGGGTGAGATTGAGAGCTAGGCGTGAACCTGGGTGGTGGTGGAATGGCCCAGAGACAGGCACAGTCCCAACTGAGGCAAGGGGCTAATGACTGGTGGAAGGAGGAGGTGGCAGAGAATGTGCTGAGAGGGAAGGAGTCAGCCTGCCAGAGATGGGGGTGGTGTTGCTGCCCAGAGTCGGGGTGGAATGGGGAAGGGGGCTGGTGAGGACAGGCAGCCAAGGGGGACTTCGTGAGGAGGCAGGGAGGAAAGACAGATGGAAACTCAAGAATGCAAGAAGAAGGGAAGGGGGGGAGGAGAGAATATGAATATGAGAGAAATGGAGACAGTGAGCCAGAGATAAGGGGTGGCCAGGAGGAGGGTAAAGGGGAAGATTTAGAGAGGCAAGTGGAGGGAGTCTGCAAACTGAGCCAAAGCCAGGGAGGAGCAGGAGAGGACCAGATGGAAGGAGAAGGGGCAGCTGCAGGTGGAGCCAAGCTAGAGGGCACTAGAGGGTTAGGGGCACAGGAAGCCTTCATGCTGAGCCAACCCTGCATCTTCATTCTCTTTGGAGCCTGGCTGCCTGACGAGCAGGGTGGGAACCTATTCCTACTGGCCCCCACTCCAGTCCTGCCCATAGCTGCACAGGGACACGAGAACACTCACATCCGGCCCCCAGGGACAGGAGGGGTTGTCTGCCTGTTTACACCGGATGCCCTCTCGAGGATTCTGCTGTTGGGGCTGCAGCAGCTGTCTGGGGAGGGTAGCAGGTGGGGCCTCCTCATCCCAGACCTCCTGGAACCTGGGGTGGGACTATGCCTGGCCTGATCCTTCACTCCACTTGGGGTTAGGGAGGACTGTCTCAGGGACCCTATTAGCTGCAGCAGTGGATTCTGTCCAGTGCTGATCTCCTCCCCCTAAGTTTGAATAATGGAGCCCATGGGACCAGCTGGAGGAAGACAGTAATGGAGGAAGTGGGGATTATTAATGGAATAAAAGCTAGAGTGGGAAATGACAACCAGGAATACTGGGGTCAGGGGCCTCAGCACCCCTGATGGGGGCCTAAGCCCTCCCCCAGGGTTTAGAGGTCCAAGCCCCCTGAACTCTCCTGGCTCAACTATCTACTCCCAGGGGGTGCAGTTTCTCCACAGGGGAGTGTTTCTGGAAATCTCAGAGTGTACAGTTTTTATTGCTATGTGCATCAATCTGAGTCCAATCAGGAGGGAAAGCACACAGCAATGGGAACAGGAAAGTTGAGTGTCAAGAAGAGGTGCCTTCTGTGGAACAGAGCGGGGGGTGGGGGGGAGAAGGCAGGGGTGAGGGGTCAGCTAGTCGTGCAGGTCGACCATGATCAATCTAAAACCGCTGCCTCCCTAAGCCTTTGGATCCCTTCTGACTTTTTGCCTCATTAACTGTAAGCCAGTGTTGAATCCAAGTCCAAGTTACCCAACCAAGATAGCTGTTAGAACCACCCCCAGCTGCACAAGCTAACCCACTAAATCCACAATCTTTAGTAAATACCCTTGTACCAGAGAACCAGTGAAATTGCCCACCCTCACTGGTCTTACACCCTTAGAATCCATTCCTGCATGGGTTCCCCAGGTTTCTGATTATACAAGTATTTTAGTGTATAAGCTGTCACTCCTGGGTCTTAGTGAGCACTTGTCTCCTGGGCATGCTGAGATTTGTCCCGGGGTATTTATGGGTGTAGTGATAGCAGGGTGCTTGTGATGACTCTTGAGAATGGACACTCTCAAGGCTTCTTCCCCATTACATCCTGGGGGTTTCAAGCACAGGAAGACTGGTGGTCTCCTCAGATGCTGCTAAGGAGGCTGAGTGAGGTAAGTTTCCAAGATCGTGCTTCTCCTGAGACAACCGCGTACGAAATTTCAAGATCTCACTGTTTACCAGTCATCACCCTCACTTTCGCGTGAGGAGAGGAATTCAACCATCGATGCTGTTGCATTTTCAGTACACTCAGCCCTGTGGCTACGAGAACTAACCTTAGCAGGCTGTCACAGAAGTGCTTCAGTTCTGTGATTTGAGCTGAGGTGGCAGACCCGAGCTCGTCCTTGTGTGCTGTAGGCATTCAAGGGCACTGCAGAGAACCTGTCCATGCCTATCTTTAGAATGGTCATCGCTGCCACAGCAGTCAAGTGCTGCAGCCAGAGGGGCTCCTGGGGCTGGTGCTTCAGCTGCACCTCATCACAATAAACGCGTGATGGCCTGACTGTGACTGCAGGCCCCGGACTCAGTCCCATCTCTGTGAGCCTAGCTCCTGGAACACTCTGGATACCAATGCCGTACCAGTTTGGATCCAATCTGGAGAGGGGGAAAAGCCCAGCAATCGGAACAGGGAACATTTTAAGAATTATTGACTCCAACAGCGAATTAAAGTGACAAGGGATTCACTGGTAAGGTGCCTGGAAATCACCTCTGGGGTGTGGTGGACATTCACAGGAGGTAGCCCAGTGAAATACACCTCCAGGAAACTGCCAGGAGGGGCAGGGTGGAGTTTCAGGGGAGGCTGCTGACCCCCTGGCCGTGGAGAAGCCACCAGAAAGCTAGCGAGGCAGGAGCCTGCACACGTGAGCTGGAACCAGGAAGCAAAAGCCTTGCTTCCTGCAAAGTCTCTCGAGCGCCTCCTACTGACAAGGCTCATGCCAGTTAATAAAGGAAAAATATTTCAAGGGCCAGTCCAGTTTTCAGAGCAGATAAAACATTGAATCTGAAGTCAGTCAGTCAATAAGCTGGAACACCATAGAACTTGGGATGCTACTGGCATCTAGTGAGTGTGGGCAAGGGACGCCGTACCCTGCAGTGAGCTGACTAGTCCCACACAGAATAACCATCCCTTTGGGATGCCAGGAGCACCCCTATATCATAGGGTTGCAGTAGGAAACAACACACTTAAAAGGTTCATTTGAGAAGTCTCAACACAGTAGTGGGCAAAGTGGGGAGGCCACAAGAGAGAATGCAGCTCCCTGGGGCTACTTGCAACCGAGAGTCCTTAACCAGCCCCACCCTGGCCAGGAAGGAAGTTACTAGAAGTATGTGGGAAAGGCTGCCTGACAGGATGACAGGAGCTGTGACCTTCAGTCCAGAGTGTAGCCAGTCCATGAGGTGGGGACCACATGCTCTCCTTCCCCCTGACCCCCCAGTGCCACATCCCTCGTCCCACCTCAATCCCCACAATGAGTGAGCCCAACTGGAAGCCAGAAATATAGCTGTCAGTGACTCCACACCGCCTGGCTGAGATCCATCTGGATGGGGAGGGGCTGTGACTAGGTAGGGAGGGGGCTGGCTGTGTCCCGAGACTGCTCTTCCGGCCCCGACTTCAGGTCCTGGGCCCACTCAGCCCCCACAACCTCGCACTTGGGCAGCATCTCCTCCACCAAGATCTGAGTGAGGCCTGGGTTGGACACAGCAGGTAGGTCTGAGATGTCCAGCCTGCGGAGGTTCCTGAGGAATCAAGAAGGGGGAAGGCTCGCATGAGGACAGCATCTGAGAGAGTGTATGGAGGGGTGCACTGGCCCCCATTTAACACCTAGCTTCTTAAATCTTTAACTGTCTAGAGAATGCCCACATCCATGAATCCATTGTGTTAATTACAAATAGACACCTCTGGCTCCTAAGGTTCTACAACAGTGAAAATATGGAGTTTTCATTAATTCTCCCAGACTCACTGCCCCTGCTCCTCTGTGCTTACCCACCAGACACCAGGTTTGTCACAGAGGCAGGCAGACCCCCAACTGCCTGACACTGCTCCCGCCCCACTATCCCATGTGAGCTGGGTGGGAGCCCCTGCCCTGGCTTGGGGTGGGGGGATGGAGGTAGGGGATAGGCTGAGCTGAGATCTTACTGGAGGTGATGGAGGCAGGCGAGGCCCCTTTCGGAGATTCGGGGGCAACCAGCCAGCGAGAGCTCCTGCAATGAACTGGCCAGCTGGTGGAGGCGGCTGAGACACCAGTCATCCACATGGGGACAGCGCTGCAGCCACAGGGATTGCAGCTCCTTCAGGGCCACTGCGGAAGGGAGAGGGCAGATGGCACTGAGAAAGAACCCTTCTGGAGCCCACCAGGAAAGGGAAAATGCAGAGCCCCGCCCATGTCCACCCCACCCCCCACTCACAGACGTTGTCCAGGCCTTCGTAGTTGATGGCACAGTCACTGGCATCCACCGCCTCTATAGGTACTGCCTGGAAATTCAACAACTTGAGGCGGGAGTAGCCATGCCCAGTGGCCCGAATCCACTCTTGGCCTTGGAATCTAGAAACGAGGTTCCAGGTGGGTACCCCATTTATCACCTCCAGCCTCCTGAGACCACTACCCAGCCCATTTAATACAATGATGGTACTGTGTCTGCTCTTGTTCTAAGGGGTATACACATCTGGTCTCATTGGGTCCCAGGATGATCCTATTAAATATGGAATGTTTGGCCAGTTTTATGTACCTAGAAGCGGAGGGCTGGAGACATTACTGATAATGTAAAGAGCTCCAATATAAGAACCTTTCTAGATGGGCAAAAGTTGAGACATTTTCAGATACCTTCCTTTTCTAAGGAAGGTGCTGGGGGAAATGCACAAACCAAGTAAAGATTTTAATTAGAATGATGAGAAGTAGATAAAGTCTACATGAATTTTGCTTTTCAAGCAAGAAGAAGAGAAAAGGTGGTGGAAATCTCCCAAAGGTTGGAAGAGGAAGAGGGAAGAAGGAGAGAAGAGAAACGAGTGCTTATTGAACACATGTGCCATGCCAGACCTTGTTACAAGCATTTACACTGCAAATGTGTTTATAGGTTAGACACACTATCATTCCATGTTCCAGATGACAAAACAGAAGCCTGAGACCAAGCTCCAAGCCACAGTCAGTAGGAGCCAGAGGCTGGGGGACTCACGGGGAAGCCTGCCTGCCTGAAGAGCCTGAGGCTTAGAGAGCCCATCTTTGGCCTCCCCCATCCCCGTGTGACACCTTTGCTGTCATACTTGACTGCGCCTCCCTGCTTCAGGACAAAGGAGGCTCCTGCGATGTATGGGCCGTATCGTTTCTTGATGCCGACGAAGGATCTGCCGAGAGAACAGTAGCTGAGGGTGAGGCCTGGGGAGCACTTCGCCCCTCACCATGTCCCAGTGCTGCTGAGACGGTCAGAGTCCACAGTATCGGGACTGACGGACACACAGAGGCTACAAATGTTAACTGAGTGACTCTTAAGTGCTGGGCACAGGGGGGCAGTGGTGACCAAGGCAGATAACTGTCCCTGCCCTTCTGAAGTTAACTTACAGGAAGAAACAGTAATAAACCAGGAGAGCGAGTGGCAGGCAGTATCAATTCCAGGAGAACAGAGGCTGACTAGGAGTGGCTTGGCTCAGGGTGGGGATGGAGAAGGCTAGTGCAGTTTGGCTGATAAGAAATGCTTCTTGGAGGTGGTGAAACTTGTGCAGAGAACTGAGTGGCAGGAAGGAACGCAGAGGTCAAGGCATGAGGCTGCCATGCCAAGGGGAACAGCCAGTGCAAGGCTTAGCAGCTCAGATTAGGACAGTTGAACAAACAGCAATGAAGACATCATGTTGCAGGGGTGAGGAGAGTCCCTGGTAGGTGTCTCAAAGCTCAGTAGGTACCAGGTTTGGGGCTTTGGAGTTTGGCTTTCATTCTAGTTGCAACTGGAAACTTTCAGGGTTTCAAGAAAAATGGTAATGTTCTTTGTTTCAGGGTTTCAAGCAAAACGGTAATGTTCTTAATTTTACTTTCTAAAAAGTCATTTGGCTGCTTTGTAACCTATAAAGAGACTGTAGGGGCAAACAAATATCAGCTAGATTACTGCAGTAATCCAACCATACAGTGAGGAGTCTCTGCTCTGGCTACAAACACTGAAGGAGGGGAGAACTGGTCAAATTTGAGATATTCTAGTATTTTATTGACCGGCTAGATGTAGACGGCAGAGAGACAGAGGAATCAGGGATGACTCCTTAGAATTTGGCTGGAACAACTGGGTGGGCAGTGGTGCTGTTTACTGGCATGGGGAAGGCTTGGAGGTGAACAAACCTTTTAGGGGAAATCAAGTGTTTGCTGTTCACTAGGTTAGGTCTGAGGAGCCAGCTAGACCAAGAGGAGATGGTGGGCAGCAGGTTGCCTACATGAACTGGGGTCCTTGGGAAGGGTATGAGCCATACATGAAGATATAAGTCGCATGGTGAGTACTGGAAGCCACAGGACCACCCAGGAGTGGCAAGGGCAGGGATGGATTCTGACCAGTGAGGCAGAACAGTAGGGTCTTGCAAGCCAGGGGTTCTCACCGATTTTTCTTGTGCACTTTTGACAGCTGTTTTTGGAACAAATAGTCCCTCAAAACCTCCACATCATAGAATCGGTCAGCCAGGAGCTGGAACAGCATCCCCCCCTTCCTCTGATTGCCCTCAGGGGTCACGCCACTGCTCAGACAACGGCTACCACTGGTGCTCAAATTCCATATGGGGGCCACCAGGCGCAGGCACTGGGAAGGAAGAGAGGAAAGGCTGAGTCTGGAGAGCCTCCTGTGAGACCGGGCTGAACCCCTCTGTTCTTTTCTAGGTTTATGAACACCCTTCCCCCCCACCCCCCACACCCCCTACCCCACACACAATGTTCCTGATTCACTAAATTCAGAATTTTCAAATTCCGCATTTGGGATTCCCAAATTTCCCTCCATGTTTCCCCCAAGTTCTTCCTCTTAACCCTAAATTGTCTCTTTGATTTAGCCAAAAATTCTTGATTTTCCCAAATTCTCTATTTTCCCCTCAAATGCTTACTTTCTCTCAAAACCTCCATTATCTGACCTGTTAATTTCCCACAAATTCTTCCCTTAATTTTACCCAGTTTTTCCTAGTCTTCCTGAATAACCAAATTCTTTCCCCCAAATATAATCTTAATTTGTTTAGTTTGTTTCCAAACCACCCTTAAACTTCTCTTAAAAGTATTCTCAGCCTGCTTTATGCTTTCTTTATGCTTTAATCAACTTCTCTTTTCCCCAAAAAACTTGCCCAAATCTTTGTTCCCTCAAAATTCCTTGTAAGCTCCCAACCTCTTATTTTAATTTTCTCTAACTTCATTACCGACTTTACCCAATTCTTTCCAAAAATTCTCCACAAATACTGAAAAATTCACCCTTAACCCTCCCAGGTATTTTCCTTTTGGCTCCCCCATTCCATCAACATCCCTTTGGTTTTCTATCAACATTCCTAACTGTTCTGAATTTCTCTTACTGGTATTCTCTGGAGCCTTCCAAACCCCCTTTCCCTTCCAAGTTTCACTCTTTTTTTTTCAATCCTCACGCGAGGATATTTCCCCCTCAATGTTTTAGAAAGAGTGGGAGGGAGATAAGAGATTGGTTGCCTTCTCAGGGTATGGAACTAGCAAAACAGATTCGTGCGCCCCTGGCCGAGAATCGAACCCGCAACCCTTCGGTGGGTCGGGAAACGCGCTGCTTTTAACCACTGAACTACCGGAGAGGGCACAAGTCCCGCCTTCGCCAGCCCATCGACTCCCTCATCCCTGCCTCTGATTGGCTGGATGCGCCAATCAGAACGCATTCTCTGCTTCTTTATAGGCTTATTTCTGCCAGACCCGCCCCTCTTCCTCTCGGAAGCTCCCCAGCAGCCCGCGACCCACACCCGTCCTTCCCGGCCCCAGCAGCCACGTCTCCGCGGCCAGCGCGAGGCCCGGCCGGGGTCCTCCTGCGCCCCCACGCCCCTCGCTTCCGGGGCGCCGGCAAAGGCCCCGAAGGCAGAGGCAGCCGAGCGGACTTCCATTTGGGGGTGCTAGGAACCCCGAGACCTACCGCCCTGGGCGCCGCCATCTTGTGGAGATTATGTAACCGGAAGGGGCCGGCCCTTTCTTATCCCACCCACCTGGCTCTGTCTTTATCTTTTTATGGTTGCAGTCTCCTCTTAAAGGCACACGCGCTTTTTACTCGGGTTTAGAGATTGCTCTGAGCGCCCTCTCTGTAGACTTTCCCGAGGAGAGGTGGGCAGCCCTTCCTGTTTCCTTTCCTTTGACTGCCCCCACGGTTCCCCTGAGCTTCCCTCTTCTCCAGCTCTCACTCGCTACCTCCTTACAATAAGGAAAGATGTACCTCCAAAGCTGACCAGCATTCTTTTTCCCTGGAAGGGGAAAAGGCTCGAGTGGGTGAGGTTAGACTTCAGGGCAAGAGGAGGAGGTGAGGTCTCAAGATTAGTATTGTGATGTGTTTATGATTTCAGTTTGGAGCTCAGAGTGAAGCTTCAATGTGAAGTCTTGTGGATAGAATTAGCCATCCATCCATCCCACAGATATTTACTGAGCATGTACCATGGGCAGTCACTGCTCTGGGTGCTGAGGTTACCGTGGTGAACAGGACAGACCCAGCCCCTTTCTCAGGGAGTCAACATTCCAGGCAAGGAGAGGATGGATAAGAAACATGAATAAGCAGCATCATTTCAGCTAGTATTTGATAAGAGGCAAATAAAAACAGGTAATATAATAGGGAGTGACTGTGGTATAGGGCCATAGGAAGAGGTGACATTTAAGTGGAGGATAGGAAGGAAACAGCCATTCAAAATTCTGGGAGGAAAGTGTTCCAGGCACTGGCAGTGTAACAGCCCGTGCAAAAGCCCAGAGAAGGGAGCCACTGAAAAGGTAGAAGACAAGGTCAGACAGGAGGGCAGGGGGCTGACTGTGCAGGTATGGTAGGATATTATTCTATTCACAGGACAGATTTGTGTAAAGACCACGTCTGCCAGGCTGAAAACAGATGTTAGAGGGCAAGGGTGGGAGCAGGGGGCAGCAAAGGGCTACTGTCACCATCCAGACCAGAGATGAGGGGACAGGAGCAGGGATGGGCAATGGACATGGTGAGAAGTGTTCAGTTTATGAGTCTGTTTTGAAGGTTGGGCCAACAGCTTGAGAAACTAAAATGATAGAAATGGGGAATAGCAAGTGTTTGGAAGGACAGGTGTGGTGGCTGAAAATGACTGACCCCCGACCCCCTGACCACCCTCCCAGCCCCCTAACACCCATGTTCTGATTCTGGGACTGTGCATATGTTACTTTTTATGGTAAACAAAACAGGTGGTTAAGTTTAGCAATCTTGAAATGGGGAGATTATCCTGGATAATTGAGGGGGCCCAGTGTAATCATGAGGGTATTATTACAATATAAACGGTGGCAGGAGAGTCCTGCTGGTAGATTCAAGAGGGTGGAGTGATGAAAGGAAGAGGCTATGAGCCAAGGGGTGTGGGCGGCTTCTAGAAGCTGGAGCGGGTGAGGTTAGACTTCTATCCACAAGGCTTAGGAACATTCTCCCCTCGACCCTCCAGAAGGAACCGAGCCCTGTGAGCCCACTTTAGACTTCTGACTTTCAGAACGGTAGGAGGATAACTCGGTGCTATTTTAAGTCGCTACGTTTGTGGTACTTTGTTATAGCAGCACCAGGAAGCTAATACAATGGGGTAGGTCCCGATGGAGAGTTCTGTTTTAACCATATTCACCTTGAGACATCCAGGTGGAGAGGCTGAGCAGGGGTCTGAATGGTCAGGACTGGAGTCAGGAACTTAGGAGCCATTGACACATCAAAGGAATTCGAACGCCTGGGCCTGGCAGAGGAGTCTAGCAGAGAGGCCTGGAGTGTGTTCCAACCTTTTCCCTGGCGAGGCCCAATGCTGACAGTAATAATATCTGTGGGCAAGTCTAGAGTCAGCAGAATTGGTTGCTCAGTGGAAATCAGCAGCCTGGACACGGAGGCAGCCCTGCTGAGGGACCATTCTCTGGGAGCCACTCCTGGCTGCTCAGGCGACTGGTTGGGAAGTCCTGGATCGGCCTGAGTGGAGGAAGGCAAGAACCACCCTGGGGTTTGAGGATGAGTGGTGGGAGGGACTCAGGAGAGGGCCAGACAGGACGAGGCCAGGCATCAACAGACATCAAACACAGGAAGGGGTTAGGCCTGAGAAGAGGTGGGGATTGGGGTGGGAATAGGGGATGAAGTTGGACCCTTGTGAACAGAGTCGAGGTTAGACTTCAGAAAGAAAAAAAAAAATGCTGATTCTCACTGAAGAATGGACTTTGGGACGCCATGTCAGACCCTCCTACCACCACCCTTCCACTGCCCTTTACTCCCTCACCCCCCAGATTCCCAGGGGGTGGGGTCATTCTGGACCTTGCTACTTCCTGCTCCTGGCATCCACTGCTCAGAGAGTATGGAGCTGTGGAGACAGCTGAGGCAGGCTGGACTGGTGCCCCCAGGGCTGGGTCCACCCCCCAGGGCCCTGAGGGGTGTCCCCTCATCATGGAGAGCTGGCCAGACCCTCACATCCCCAGGGACAGACACCGAAGGTGCCAGGGAGAGTCTGCTGTGGATCTGGGAGGAACTGGTGAGTGAGGAGTTTGGAGGGGCCAAAGATAGAGTAGGGTGGGGGGAGAGTGAATGAGTGTTAATGTCTGAAAATAGAAAGGGCCAGAGATTGAAAGACAGAAATTGAGAGACAGGAATAGAGAAATACACACACACACACACACACACACCACACCACACCACACACACACACACACAGCTGAAGAGAGAGAGACAGAGAGACAGACACACAGACCCAAAGAGTGAAAGATAAGAATAGAGACAGAGACACAGAGAGGGACCCAGAAAAAAAGAGGTAGATAGAGATGGAAAGATGAGATTGAGGATAGCAACAGAGACAGACTCAGATTATCTGAAAGATGACGACAGAGAAATAGAGACAGAGAAAGATGGATATGGAAAGTCATAGAAACAAAGACAGGTGGCGACACAGTGATAGATAACAAGAGAGGGAAACGAAGACAAAGAGATTAAGAGTCAGACACATACAGAGGGAGGTAGAGACAGGGAGGGACAATGAAATACAGAAACAGATCAGGAGACACTGAGAAGCAGGGTGACAGTTAGGTCCAGGGACATAGTGAGGACCAGCCCAAGAACACAGGTTACAGGTGGTAAGGTGATGGGTACAGAGACCATTGTGACGGGATTGTGCAGTGGAAGAGAGAGAGAGAGATCACCTCCAAATACAGCATGGGCAAATGGAAATTTACAACCTAGGAGCCACTGGGGGTTAGTGGGTAGAAAATTACAAGAACAGAAAGGGGACATTTTGGGTAAAGTGACTCAGCAGGATCCTGCTGAAGGGGTCCAGGGTGATTGGACATCACCTGGGGGAAAAGGGAGGATGAGGAACCCGATTCAATAGGATATGGAGAGTATTCAGGTGTGGAGGCTGGGGATTCTTGCTAAAAGTGGATTGAACAAGGAGGTGCAGAGGTAAGCCTAGGAAAAGATACAGGAGCCTATCCAAAGTTTCGTCAAGCAAAGAATCTTTGTTAGGTCTTGAGCTGGGACCTGCTCCCATCCAGATTGGGGTAGCGGGTGGGGGAGGGGAAGGCAGGATGCTCTCTTGGGTGGAATGCCTATGACTTCCATTTCCCTCTGGCAGGAGAACCTTCGAAGAGTGGATGTCCAGCTGCTCGGCCAGCTGTGTACCTTGGGGCTGGAGATGGGGCTGCTGCGGGAGGAGCTGGTTGCTTTCCTGGAAGAAGAGGAGGAGGAGGAGGAGATCTTTGAGGAAGAGGAGGAGGATGAAGAGCCAGAGGGAAAGCAAGAGGAAGTACATCTGGGGGTCTCCTGCCCAGCCTCAGGCCATCGGCTCCCCGACTTTGAGATGACTATCTGAGGCCCTGCCAGGGTGCTTCCCATTGGCTTATGGAACTTGATGAACATTCATGCAAAGAGGAGTGATTTGAAGGTTAGATCAACTTGCAAAGGTTCTGAAGATGCCTGCAATGAGATTCGGGGACTGGCCTAGAGCTGTGGGCGTGTTTGAAGGTGGTGTGGGGTTTTCAGAAAAACTGCAGGTGTGTTTGCAGACGAGCTGCAGGAGTGTTGCAGGGGAGATGTGGGCCTTTGCAACTAGAATGCAGATGCCTGCCGATGAGGTTTGAGAGCAAGGCATCCACTGGCTCCATGTGGCTGCTGAGCACTTGAAATGGGCAGGCCCTACCTGAGGGACACCGTCAGTGTAACATACATGCTGAATGCTACGTTTTCAAAAACTTAGTATGGCAACAAGAATATAAAACATTTCAATGATATTTAAAATTACATATTAAAATGATGATATTTTGAGTGTATTGTAATATATTAAATATGACTAAAACTAATTTCACCTGTTTAAGATTTTTATTGTGGTAAAATATACATTAAAATTAATGGTTTTAACTTATTTTGTAAGTGTACAGTTCAGTAGTGTTAATTAAGTACATTCAATTATTGTGCAGTGCCAAAACAGATTTGGCTCAGTGGATAGAGCATCGGTCTGCGGACTCAAGGGTCCCAGGTTTGATTCCGGTCAAGGGCATGTACATTGGTTGCAGGCACATCCCCGATGTGGGGTGTGCAAGAGGCAGCTTGGTTGATGTATCTCTCTCATTGATGATTCTAGCTCTCTATCCCTCTCCCTTCCTCTCTGTGAAAAATCAGTAAAATATATTAAAAAAAAATTATTGTGCAGCCATCACCGCCATCCATCTCCAGAGCCCTCTTCATCTTACAAAACTGAAACTACCCATTTAACAGCTCCCCACGCCCCTCTTCCCTCAGCCCTGCAGCCACCTTTCTACTCTGTGTCTCCATGAATTTGGCTACTCTAGGGACCTCACGTAAGTGGGGTTATAGGGTATTTGTCCTTTTGTGTCTCACTTATTTTACTTAGCACACCGGCTTTAAGGTACATCCATGTTGTGGCATGTGTCAGAATTGTCTTTCTTTTTTATGCTGAATAATATCCTATATAGTGTGTACATTCCACATTTTGTTCATCATCCATCATGGACACTTGGGTTGTTTCTGCTTTTGGCTAGCATGAATAATGCTGTTATAACCATGGGTGTACAGATACCTGTTCAAGTCCTGGCTTTCAGTTCTTTTGGTTCTATACCTAGAAGTGAGATTTATGGATCATGTAGTAATTCTATGTTTAATTTTTTATTTTATTTATTTGTTTATTAATATATTTTATCCACTGAGCCAAACTGGGTAGGGTGGGCTAAATTTTTATTTTTATTTTGAGAGTATGTTTAGTAAAGATGGGAACAGTGAAAGCAGGAAGGGCTTAGGATAGAAGCGACAGGAGATATTTTAGCTCTCTGGAAGTGTTCTCAGAAAGGAGTGGACTGAGGTGGGGCTGCTTTGGCTCATTGAAAAGGCAGCGCAAAGGTGCTTTGGAGATGGGGTCAGGGGTCAGCCCAGGCTGAGTTGCTGCTGCCCAACGTTTCCCTGGTTGCAAATGTGTGGGGACCCTTAGAGTTTAGTTGCCTGGTTTTGTGTGTGTGTGTGTGTGTGTGTGTGTGTGTGTGTGTGTGTGTGTGTGTGTTTGGGCGTGCTCCCAAGAGGGACAATGGGCCTATGCTTGATTTTCTGAGGAACCAGCAGACTGTTTTCCACAGCAGCTATCTAAGCGTAGATCGCTAGGTGTTACAAAGAAGGGAAGTAAAGGAAATCAGGCATTGTTAAGCATAATCTACGGGGCAGCATAAGCCTGCTTCCATAGGAAGTTGCAGCATTCAAAGCATAGAAGTTCCAGGGACCCCAGGGCTGCCTGCCAAGGGCATTCTCACTCCAGGGACCACTGGCTGATGCTGGCCTGTGTTCTGGGCTTGATGAAGACAAGGCCGGACTTTCAGGGACGGCCTGAGCTGAGCCACCACAGCTGAACCCGGGACAGTCCTTTTTTCAGTAAACCTTACCACTCCCACACGGATCTCCGGAAGCTTTCCTTTCCCTGAAAGGACCGAATTTCCACTGGCAACATTATACCACTTGACATTTCCACCAATAGTACACCAGAGCTCCGGTTTCTCCACATCCTTTTTCTTTTCTTTCTTTTTTTCACAATAATGAGTGTGAGGTGGTATCTCATTGTGGTTTGATTCGCATTTCCCTAGTGGTTACTAGTAAAGATATTGAGCATCTTTTCAAGTGCTTATGCAGTTTCTTCATACATTTTTAAATATGGCTGCAAGAAAATGAAAATCACACACATAGCTCCTGTTGTATTTCTGTTGCACAGCACTATTTCAGAGGTCTGACCATGGAATGTGGGTGTGAGTCGATGAGCAGTGAAGGTTTATGATGTCCCCAGATCTGCTGCAAATGAGTCACAGCTCCACCTGCAGGAGACAGGCAGGTATTGGCACACGATGGCTGAGGAAAAGCGGACTAGGAAATGTCCCTATTGCCTAGGTCCACATTTGCAGAAAATCAGACAGAAGTGGGAGAGCTCCAGCCTTAGGGGAAACATCTCTTCAGGAGAGATATTTAGGCATTCACAAAACCGGACACCCATTTTTGCAATCTCTTATCGAAGCAATTTCTAGTAGGGAGTGAGGATGTGCACAGAGAAGTGAGGTGTTGGCAGGAGAGGTGCGGAGTTCCTCCCCATGGAGATTTCCTTCTTAAAGAACAAACTGTTTCCTTTTGTCCAATGGAGTTCCTCAAGACTGGGGTCTTTGTGTGTCATTCAAGCCCAATCCCCCAACCTGGTCCTCTTTAGCCAATCTTAGCCAGCTCTGAAGCTTCTGGGAGCTCTGCTGGAGGGGGGTGGGAGGAAGGAAGGCTGAGGAGAATGCTGGAAGTCAGACCAGTACCCAGTGAAGGGGCAAGACAACCCAAGAACATGCAAGTGAGAAGAGCTCCCTCACCCTCACTTGGCACTCTAGGAAGAGGCTGGGGCCTCTTGGAAGCTACACCCAGGCGTCCCTGGGTCATGCTTCACAGATGCCAAGTCTATTGGGGACAGGGACTGGGGTTGGGGAAAGGCATGGAGGGAAGACTGGAGGGAGTAACTCGGGAGGGAATGCTCACTGTGCAAGAACAGCATGGGGAGTGGCCCCTGATATCTTGGGTGGGAGTTGCTCTCAGCCATGGCCTAGACCATGGAGGTGACCTCTATGGGAGAGACACTCAGGGAATGTGGCTGGATATGGCCAGTTCCACCTGGATATGACCAATGTTACTGAGCTACATACAGCAATGACCAGGTCAGCACCAGGTCTTCCCTCCTGGATCTCTCTGCCTAGCAAAAGGGGAGAAACCCCTCACCACTTGGGGACTGGGATGGCGGAGGCACAAGTGGCTGAAAGGACTCAGAAGAAACAGAAGGACCTGCCTGGAACATTAGGAAAATAATCTCGAAGGAAAACTGAGGGAATAATTAAAAATGAGTCAAGCAGAGAAAGGAAATGGGAAGAGTGTAACAAGCAGAAAAACAGCAAACACAAGAGCCAGGAGATGATCTAGTGATCTAACAGCATAGCTACAGCTACCTACTGATGCATAATAACCCCACACTCAGTTGTTTTTAAACAATGACAGCATGTACTTTGCTCATGAATCTGCAATCTGCAGGGATTGCTTCAGCTAGAATTGTCCAAAGGCACATTCACTCACATGTCTGGCTCTTGATGCTGGCTATTGACAGGGGGCTTCTGTTCTCCATGTTGTTTCTCTCCCTGGGCTAGATTGGGCTTTCATGGTGGGTGGGTTCCAAAGGCAAGAGCCCCAAAGGTGAGCCAGGAAGAAGCCACATCACCTTGCATGACACATCTCAGAAGTCATGCAGTCATTCTTGCCACATTCCATGTGTTAAGGCAAGAGCAAAGTCCTGGCCAGTTCAAGTCAAGGGGAAATGGACTTCACCCTTTATGGGGAGTGCATGCAGGACAGGAAATATTGCTGTGGTCATTTTTTGGAAACACTGCCACAGCATCACCTGGGAAGTGGACATGCTGATTCTCAGGTCCCACCTCAGGCCTATTGAATCAAAATACGCACTTAGTAAAATTCATTTTTAAAAGATATATATATATCTTTTAAAAATGAATACTTTTATTATTTATTTTAAAATATATTTTACAGAGAGGAAGGGAGAGAGATAGTTAGAAACATCAATGAGAGAGAAACATCAATCAATTGCTTCCTGCACCCCCCCTACCCCCCCATTGGGGATGTGCTCACAACCAAGGTACATGCCCTTGACCAGAATCGAACCTGGGACCCTTCAGTCTGCAGGCTGACACTTTATCCACTGAGCCAAACCGGTTTCGGGTATATGCACTTTTATTGATTTCAGAGAGAAAAGGAGAAGGAGAGAACTTTAGAAACATCAATGATGAGAGAGAATTATTGTTCAGCAGGCCCCATCCTGGAGATTGAATACACAACCCCGGCTTGTGTCCTGACTGGGAATCAGCACATGACACACTGAGCCATGCCTGCTAGGCAATAAGAATCTTTTTTGTTGTTATTGTTAATCTTCACCTAAGGGTATTTTTTCATTAATTTCCAGAGAGCATGGAAGGGAGGGGGACAGACAGAGAGAGAAACATCAATGTGAGAGAGACACATCAGATTGGTTGCCTCCCACATGCACCCCGATGGAGACTGGGGATTGAGCTGGCAACTGAGGTACATGCCCTTAACTGGGAATCATACCCTTGACACTTCAGTCCAAGGGCCAACGTTCTATCCACTGAGCCATACTGGCCAGGGCGCATTTAATAAGATTCTAAGGTGCTTCTTTTGCGTATTTGGTTTGAGAAGCACTCTTTTTTTTTTTTTAATCAATCTTTATTGTTCATATTATTACAAAGGTTCCTCATTTCTTCTCCCCTCCAC